AGACAGAAATGCTTTTAAGATGCTATATTTAAGCAACACTTTACTTTTACAAAACTCAGCTTTATTTACTGCTGAGGAGTGGATTCAGGGGGTTCTTTAAGTGATCTCTGGCTTCCAGGACGGGGATGGTTTCACTGAAATCACTGGATTAATTAATGGACTCAGGAAATGTGTAACTGAAACTCAGCTTTTGTTGTGACAAAAATTTCTAAGCTAGTTTTCACTCATACAGATGGAAATCATTTACCTGAATCCCTTTCCTTGTACATGTTGAGTGCTTTGTCCTTTAGTGTCTTTTTAATCTTATATCACACTGAAAAAAGATTTGCTTAAAAACCTAATAGTGGAAAAATATTTATAAATAAACACCAAATAATTACAATATTTCAATTCTGTTATGATCAGTAGAACTCCTTATGGCACAGCTATCTCTGCTTTTGTAAAATACTGCTAGGAATGGTCAACATGGAATTCAGAATTCCCAGGATTAAAAAACCAAACAAATAATCACTATTATATTAACATGAAAAAAGTGAAAAACAAAAATCAAATGCTCATTTTGGCTGAAGAAGCTCCTACTGAGGTTGAAAAGCTTGTGGGAAAGAACAACCCTTTGTTCTCTTTATTCTAGCAATTACTAAGCATGGAATTTTGTGGAAGTCCAAAAAATTCCAAGTAGCTAAACTATGTCAAAAGGAGTTGAAATAATGTCTTAGAAACAGCAGAATGACAGTAAAAATTACTGGTAACACAAAAGTATACACAGCACATACATGAATCAATGCCAAGTAACATTGGATATTCAATATACAGGCTGAAAAGCTCAATGTGGAAAAAAAAAAGTGTACAAAATGTATTCAGATTTAAACATCTCAATCAATCAGTGTCTGTAAGAGAAACACAGAAACAATGCCCTGTCAGGTCTACTCACAATTCATCACTTTGCTACAGCTACAATAAATATTCTACATCCTATGCCATCAAAGGGGAAAAAATTCTCTCTTGTAAAATACAAGGAAACCAGATATGTAAGGAGAGTTGCTTCAGAAATCGTTCTCCTGCAGGTCATTCATGTTTGTCTGGTGTTGGCTGATGAGCAGATCTTGGACAGAAAGTGTCCCAGTAGCAAAGAATTGGGTGTCCAAGTGACACAAAGATGAGAAACAGGAGCAGTGCCAGTGACACAAGCATTCCAGGTGTGGACAGGCCATCAGGGCCGTGTTTCCTGAGGAAGCTCTGAGGACTCTGACTGCCAAGGGGGGATCAATGGGACTTTCTGGAGGAGCTAAGACACCTGGATGGGGGACAGCAGAGCATCAAGAGAAACCCTCACTGCAGCCCCTGGTGATGGAAGCGTGGAAAAGCCCATGACATCCCAGGCTGTCCCCAAAATTCAGGAGCTCCCTCCCATTGCTGCCCTGCTCAGCCTCTGGAGCTCACTGTGCATCACTGAAGCCGTGAGAACGGGGTGTGGGGTCACGCTGTCCCTCCCTGCACCGGGGAGAATCTCAGCCCTTTGTGGATGGGGGTGAACACAACAACAAATTCTGCCTCACTTTGCCTGTCTTTAAACACAACAGTGAGTGAGAAAAAGGAATAGCAGAGCCAAGGGAGTGCGAATGGCACAGGTCATGAATGAATGCTGAAGGACCAGGCTTGGAGGAGTCTGCTTATGGTGGCCTGCACAGTCTTGCTGCCGAGCGTCTCCCTCTCCTTTTCACTGACATCACCCAGAAAAGGCTGTGGAATTCATGGAGCTAACATTGTTCCTTTGGAAACCTCAAAACAAGAGTGAAACTGCTCAGTCTGTGGCACTGCTGGTGGGCTGCAACATCAGGGTAAAAGCAAATCTTTGCAGGAGAGCAAAAGGGACGATTTACTGAAGCAACGTTTTGAAACATTACTGTGAAAAAACAATGGAATTATCACAAAATGGAATTTCACACTCCCAGCAAACCCCCACTGGAGACAAGAGACTGACAAACAGCATACCATGGAAAGCAATAGTCTAAGTTGCACTCCACAATCAGTCCTCTCATACCTGTCATTCCATCTAACTTACTAAACTTTTAAACAGCAGTTCAACAAACTCATGTTTTGCAGGAAAAACAAAAGTTTAGCTGTTTTTTCTTGAAAAAAACCCTGCAATATTCTAACTCCGTTTAAAAAAGACCAAACAAAATTGTAAGAAAGCTACAAAACTACACTGCCCTTGCTGCCTTTTAAACAGGAAAAGCTTTACAGTCAACTCTAAAATGAATCACAAACATCTACAACCTTAATTCATGTTTTGTCACGATGTTCTCATCAGAGAAAATGTTTACCAAAGCAGGCCTACAAGGAGGGAGGGAGGATAGCAGGAAGGGTAGATAATAACAGGGAGTGGAAAATGATCCAAACGTGACCAACAGATTTTCTGAAAACGCAGAAAAGCAAGCAGTTATTTTGTCTGGATCAAAGGCATCAGGAAGATATAGGGACAAAAAGAGGGGAAGGAAAGAAAAAACCCAAAGTGTAAAAGAAGGGGAGACCTTCATCCAGCAAAGCATTTGCACATAGGCTCAGGGTGAAGCACAGCCTAAAGCTAAGCTTGAACCCGAGTGTGCTGCTGGATTCAGAGGAGGGAAAACAACGGCAACAGACAGTAATACTCGAGCAGGTACCCTCCAAGAACTTGCCATCTTCAAATAAACGTCTTCCTAATTGAATTTTTCAGCTCTTTCTAGCCAAGCCTGCTTTTCCAGGCTGTAGAAGGCTTTGCTGTAGAGGACACAGCGACTCTTGCCAGACTTCACTGCTTTCAGACACCACCGAAGGTGGGGAGAGACCATTTCCAAGCGGCTGGTCCCTAGCGTAGCCCTTTCGATCTTTGCAAATGTAAATGAAGCGTTGTGGAGGAAGTGTTTTGTCTGGGAGAGGTCACTGGCACCTGGTCCCTAGGTGTGGCCTTTGGGGATATGTTTATCCCCACTAAAAACGTGTTTGCCTACAGAAAGCACCTTTTCACTACCGAACTTGGGGAGAAAAAACAGACAGGAAAGAAAGAAAAAAAGACAGGAATGTCCTTAGGACATTGTGGGTGAGGAACTTCTACGCACTTATTCCAAAAGCCCATTAAAAATATACTTAAAAGAAAACACAAGAAAACAGAATAGAGCAAACAAATTGCCCCCAAAAATCATTAACAAAAAGTAAAAGTAATATTATCAAACTATATATATAATGGTTTTCATTAAAAAAGAAGGGAAAATGCACACCCTACCGCCTGCAGTTCTGGTCAGGTTCTCCCTCAGCCCACCCCAAAACAGTAAAAATTTTTAAAAATACAAATAAATTAAATTAACGTTTCCACCAGCCTGGTTCTCAACTGAAACAATTTCTTCGCCCGCTACTCTATTTCCTGAACACATCTGTAGGAAACCTCATTAAAAAAATCTACAATTCTTCAGATGAACATGAAAGTAGGACTCTTCCCCCAATCTTTGCAAACCTGGACTTATTTTAACAGTAGACTTCCTGTGCATTGGGTGTCAGGTACAGGTATCCTTATCAGAAGATCAGAATGATTCCACTTGTGCTGACAAAGAGTGTTTGAATCTGGGATTGCTCCAAGTTAATGGCATCCCTTTGAGCTTGAAATCAGCACTTTCTCCTCAGCTGTAATGTGAATTGCTTAGCACTTGGATCTATCTAATGATTGAGATAATATCATTCATTAGCTCTAATAACAATGGCCCTGGCTCACCCAAGTATTTAAATATGCAAATGGCATCCTTTAGGCCTCAAAGTTAAATATGTGGTTCAGTTCTTGGGCAAACGGGATTCCCAATGCATTCAGGAAAGTAGAGATGTTTTGTCATGTTCAAAAGATAGGTACTTATTTTAAATTTGGGGGTTTTGAAAAATAAATTGCAAGAGCTGTGGTGAAAAGACACTTGAGCTTACATGCTAACCTTCAGCAGTGGGGGCTGAGTAAAGGATGCCAGGTTTGCATGGCAGCTGGCAGGAAGTATCCAGGATTGTATATTCTGCCCTTCAGGCTGGGAATCGTCCTCTGAACCCCTCAGCACTTTGCCAAATCGTTATTTCCTTTTAGTGAACATATTAAAACATGTAACAGCGGAATTGAACCTTTGTGATCCTTCTTTGCCATCTGGATGTACATCTGTGGAGATGTACCCACAAAAGGGCCTTAATGGGCCAGCAGAAAACATTTCTGGAGGGCTCCAGACAAAGGACATCCAGAGAGTGCAGTGGAGACCAAAGCACAAGTACAGGAAGAAAGGAATTAGTCAGTAAAACCAGACTTTTTCCACACTCTATGATTTTCTCTTCTGACAACATATTTCATGCCTTCAGAATCCAGTATGGTTTTAGAAAACCCAAACAAACCAATGTCATTTCCTTATAATTAAACGGGAGAAAAAAAGTTTGTGATTAAAAAGTTAAAGATGGAATCATCAATGACACAGGTGGAAGTTTGTCACCTGGTAACCAGAAATGGTAGCAAAAAGTGTTATCACATCCTCTCTGAGCAGCACTCTGAACTGAACACAGTTCTGGGGTTTCTCTGCTTTTCTAAAGAGAAATCTTCAAGAAGGGTTTCTTTCTTGGATCAAAGGATCCCCTCCCAGAAATATTGTCTATGTCTTGCACTCATTTATGTAGCTGCTGCTGGAAAATGAGCCTAATTCTTCATCTGAAGAGTCTGACCACAATAGTAGAGTGAAGTGAAAATGACCAAAGAAAAAGAATATAAATGGTGCCATTCTCAACCCCTGCCACTGGCCTCTGAGAGAAAACAGAAAGCAAAGCAGAAAGTGCTGGCACGCTGAGCTCCTGCAGGCCCAGCATCCGGGCACACATTCCTGGTGCACTGCTGAGGAACTCTTCCCAAGCTCCAAGGAGGCAACTTGCAAAACATCTCCAGCAAATCTTCAGGAAGGTCCTCCTTCTCCTTTCCCTCTGCTGCCACTTCCCAAGCTTCTGCAACCTCAGACTCACTTTCTGGCTATCAGCCAAGGAGTTTGACCCTTGAAGTGGCAGACAAAAGGTTTGACATGAAAACAGACAGGCAGAATTGACAGGAACCCACAGCAACTGCAGCCTGGTTACAAGTTTTAGTGGGGACAGAGCCTGGAACAAACTGCCACACTCAGGGTGGTACAAACCCAGCTGCCCTGCTTGGGTTCCTTTTGACGTGTAAGGAGCTTAGGTTTGGGAAGAGCAGCAGGTCAGTGCAGCATCACTGATGTGAGCTCTCTTGTCTATCCCCAGGGGCTGATGAGATTGTATCACTATTGGGGCTGTGGAACAGCAATCCAAAATGGTTATCAGGTACTTCAGTTAAGATCCCAGGCCACAGCCACAGGGAACATTTGTCACCCTTTTCCCAACCTTTAAATGAGCAGGTACCCTACACATATTCCAACAGTAGGTAAGTCTTTGCTGAGCCAAGTCAGGTACTAGCAAGAGTTCTGGCAATTTCACTTCAAGCTCCCTTACACCTCAGGCAAGAGCTTTCTTACAAATAGAGCAGTCAAAAAACAGCCCAAGAAACAAAACAGGTACAGCATCACCTCGAGAGTCCTTTAACTTTCAGGAGCTGTGTCAGGACAAGGTGGTAGATGTGCACTTGCTCTGCTCTTGGACCAGATAAAACCAACCAACAGCAATCCCATGCAGTGCAATCACAAAAACCAGCTACACCAAAACCATGCTACACAGACCAAAGGGAACAGGAAGCACGGCAGCTTCTCCAGGGATCTCTGTATTTTTAAGGATTAATAACCAGGATTTGTAGAAGGGACTGAAGCATTGAGACATCCTACCTTCAAGATCAGAGCAGGAACTCACTACTGTTGCTACCACCTTCCAAGCCCAAAACACCAGGAGTGCACCTGGTGGTTGGTTAGTAACTGCTTTAACAGGTGTGCAATTAAAACACAATTGGACCATTAACTGTCCCAATTAGCTCACAGCTGCAAAGCCTTTTAACAGGGAGCTGGGGCTTACAGGAACGACATCTATTACTGAGAAAACCAGGGAGAATCCCTCAGTACTCTGTGCTTCATTTTCTTTCTGTGCCGTTTCAGCTCCAGCACACCAAGCTCATGAAAACATCACGCATGGAAACGTTTCATCCCAAGGACAATGTTGGCATGAGAACAAATGGTTGTAAATACCATGAATTAGTTTAGGTCGAAAGTTGCAAGGAGTTTCCTAACTGCGAGGGCACTGGAGTCGGAACAGCCTGCAGGGCAGGGAGGGAAAGGACAGAGGGCAGTGGAAAACTCCCTGTTTTCAGATGCAATTCAATAAATCTCTGAAAGGACGAGTGACAGATGGATTGCAGCAGTCAGAGGCTGGGCTGGGATCCTTGGGCAGTCCCCAGCAGGCCCTTCCCTGTGTACATCCCTTACTCTGTCGCTTTATTATGGTGGTGCTAAAAGGCTGTTTGGAACCACCTGGAAAATTACCTGATAATAGTTTGTGAACAGATGAACAGGTGAGTATAGGGAGCAGGACTTCAGTGGATCAGTCTCACTAATAAACCACCACTTGTGCTTCTCCTTTGGGATCATTAAACACTGGTAACTTCCCCTAAGACTCCTGCACTGCCTTTTTCCCCTGTGAGAAGGGCCAAGGCAAGTGGATGTGTTTTAGGGAATAGGTTTAGGCTCCCACCGTTCCCCTCATCCTAAGGAAAGCACACTGTTATGCTCACTTTAGCCTGGCAGTGTTTTCCTCTCTGCATAGTTTAGACTTGAGACATCAACAAAGGTAGGTCAGGAAGGATAATTAAGATGTGCATATGCAAATGAAAATTACACACTCTGCAAATTTGCATGCGACCTTTGGTTAACATTTTAAAAAGCCACATGGATTGATTTTTACAAACATTTGTTAGGATATCAAGGTATGCTGCATTATGCTTCATTTTAAATAAGGCTTTAATTAAGCTGCTTGAAAGCCTACAATTTAGAAAGGGATGAGAATTTTTTGCCAACCAGGGCTCCTTGTCATGAGGGTTATTCCAGGTCATGGGAGGATAACTCTAAATCATGGTGTCTCTACATTCCCAGTGCACAGGGACTACTAGGAGGTTTTTCAGCAACACTTTAATTCATCACAACAGAAGTGTTAATATTTCACTTTAATAAAAAATACATAATATTTTGAAATATTCTTGAATTATCCAGCTTGAAAAATGAAAATGACCTTTAAATCTATACAGGGCAGTTCCTTTGGGCACTTTAAATGCAATAATTTATTAAGTTCCTATATTCATCATGTGTGCACAAATATCATGTAAATATTACAGCTGTACTCCATGACAAAACAAGCGTAATGCAGACATAGAATCATACAGAGAACTGACAAATGGGGAAAAAGGGAGATCTAGTATTTTCTGTACAAAAAAATATGCCACTTTTTGATAATTTGTAAAAATGCATAACTTTTGGCATTTCAGAGAAGAACACCGTATAAAAATAAATATTCTATGTACAGTAACACACACAGGTCAGTCCAGGGTTAGAATCATCACTGCAAAAGAAAACATAAACAAGTGTTAGTGACAGCTCACAGGGGGAAGGACACTGTTAGGGAAGCTGGCTCTGGGCTCTCCAGGAGGAAAAGGAGCTGTGATGGATCCCAGCAGGGACCCTTTCCACCTCTCCTGAAGGTGGGCCAGATCCTGGGGAGTGTCTGAGAGAACCCAGGAGGAAATCTCATCTTTGTGCAAGGATGAGAGCACCTTGGGCCAGGCAGCTCAAAGGCCACAGGTACAGTTCTCTCCTTTGAGCTGAACTGTGATATTTAACTAAGGAGGAGTTTTGGTTGCCTCTTTTCTGGGAAACAGTCCTGGAAATCCCATCCATGCATCCACACCTCCTCTGCCCTTAGGCAGATTCATGGAAAACATTAGCAGGACCCATGGCACTGCCAACTCAGCACAGCAACATTTCCAAATTACCTTATTCCAGCAGCCTTGAACTGGAAGGCCATCTTCTCCCTGTGGAAAAGATGGATGAAATAGCAGTTTAGGACAGAGAAAGTAGCACAGAGACAGAGAAAGGAAGGCATGGGTTAACTGTTACTGCAACAAACAGTTTGAACCTGGGCTGGAGGAATAGTCTGAGAGATATTCCTCATCCTTCAGATGACCCAGACTTCTGGCTGGCACAACCAGTGCAGCCTGAAGCAGGGGCTGGGGTGAAGAGGGGAAATGCCTGCAGGCTGTGCAAGGGGCTCATGTACCCGAGAACCACCCTCCCCTAGGAAAGGGGTCTGCCCAGGTTTCCTTGAAGGAAGAAGAGAAGGACCACAGGAGGTCCAGCTCAGCCAGATAAACAGGAAAGTGAGAGGTGGCTGCTCTGTGTGCTCAGGCTTGGCTCTGTAACATTGAGCTTAAAAGCCAATCCCAGAGTCAGCACTAACCTCAGACCTGAGGAGGGTCTAGAAAAAAAATCTTCATTTCCTTCCTGCCCTGTTAAAGGGTTTGCTTTGTCATGGGAGACACTGCCCAGTTACCCCCTCTTGCCTCTGGGCAGATCCTGCTCCAGGGAAATTACAGCAGCCTCTCAGCTGGTTCAGGATGTCTCAGCTGACTCCCTGAAAAGGGACTCTGGCTTCAAAAACATCAGTGGGATTTCTGTGGAAATCCCCTGGCACTTCTGCACCCGTGATGTCTTGGGCTCCATGGCTGGGAAATGCTTTTGTAGATTACTGCCATTAATTGCAACCCTGTGCAGCCCTCTTTGATGATGGGCTAGATATGACACCAGTGCTAAGGTGCTCTGGGGAGCAGCAGATAAAGTCAGGTGTAAGGAAATACATGTCTGACATGAGAAGTCAAATTCTTGTGCTCTGTGCACGTGGCAGATTCATGGTCTATCACTATTCCCCAGGAAACCCCAAAAAAATACAAACAGAAAAGCAAATGCACAGTAACATACTGAGAAATGAACTATTTGCTGGAGATGCACTTCCAGGGGGCTGATGTACTGAACATTGCCATGATGTTAAAACAATTTTGCTTTTCAAATGCATTTTTTGGACTTTGGTCTCCTTGTGCTGTTTCCTCCCCTTGCCCCAGCTATGTGGAAATACAGAATTCCAACTTATTTACTGGGTAAATTGTGGTGTTCCCATTGGTACACTGGTGGTGACAGGAATGGCTGGTACAGTGCATGGCAGGAGGAGATGGGAAGTTAGGTGTATGAAGGAATGGGAGGCCAGGGAGTCACAGCTCAGGGATCAAAGGAACACCAGGGTCACAAGGAAGTGTTTGTTGCGGGCGAATGTGCCGAGAACGGAAACATGACGTGCTTGTTAGTACCAAGGATCTCCTTCCACATATCTCACATGTGCCAAGAGTTAGTTCACAGCCTCCATGAGCTACACACATGGATGTGTCAGCTGGATGCCAAGCTTTTAACCTAGTTGGATCAAAAAACATGCTTATTCACGTTCCCAAGCTTGCATGCCAGAACACCATGTATAAAAAATAACAGCATCCATGTTTTATCAGATTTTCTGGCAAGTTTCCCTTAATGAAAATAGGTATGAAAAGAGGTGTGAGTTCTATTATGGCCACGTGGGGTGAATCCTCTCTAGGAGCAGTGACAAAACCAGAAATGTCACCTGCCAGGGCACTGGTGGAATCCTTGCACCTGTGAAATCAGGTGCCTTACTCAGCCAGAAGTTACTCCACAGAAACCTGGCTGTGATCACTGGGACACAAAACACATGGCTCTGTGGTCTTCTTCCTTTGAGCACTGTTCTGGGCAGGGATGGTTTCACTTGGGGGACTGGCATAAGTTTCTACTACCCAGAATTTACAGAGCAGCAACTGAGACTTTGAGTGCTCACTGTCCCAAACAGGCAATGGCAGCACCCAAAGGAGGGAACACTGGAAGGAAAATTATGTCAGCTCTTCACAAAGCTCAAATAACAAAGGCTTTTAATGGCAATTTCATGGCTTTTTTTTTTTTTTTTTCCCTCAAGAAACTAGAAACTAGAAAAACCTTTCAAATTAAATGTGGCTTTTTGCTTTGGGATGCATTTTCCCAGCTAGTTGAACTAACAAATCCCATCCCTTGCAGATGGCATCAAACCTCCTTAAGTGAGCATAAAGCTTGGGAAGACCATGCTCAAGCAAACCTTGTCATGCCAAACAGGGCTGGATGGGCAGGGGAGTAGAAGTTTCTTTGTATTATGGAGATGTTGAGACTCTCCCAGAGAGCAAAAATGTCACCTAAATGCTGCATCTCCAGAAAACTCAGAGAAAATGAATAAATTGGTGACCTTTACTGGGATACTAAGAAATCAGTTGGGCTTAAGTGTTTCTGAATACTTTTGTCCTCCAACAGTTGGGCTAGATCAGGCACTAATACAATAATCATTTTATCACTTGAATAAGATGGATATTGGGAAACAGGCAATCCTAAATTCCAGTTTTTTTGGATGCTATGGGTACAGTTTGGACTTTTGGGGAGAGTCATAAATAGGAATGATCCAGCAGGGAGGTTAAGTGTCCCCATTATGTTTCACATGGGCTTACTAATGGGATAACTATTCTTTTCAGTCATCTTCATGTATGGGGTAACTGAGGTCACATGGAACCATGTCAGGCTGTGCTCAACACACACAAGCAATTAAAAACAGAGTTAATGAAGGACACAAGCACTGCAGCTCCTTGTTGAGGAAGCCAAGCCAGTGTAGAGCTGGGCCTGCATACACTGGTTTACTGGAAATTGTCAAAGGGAAGGCAAAGGAAGAAGTGAAGCAGTTGTAAATAAAACCACATTCCAACTCTATTTTTCCTCATGCCACAAAGTGCTGCTGACAGCTGTTGGGAATCAGAATGAAGGGAAGGGCCTGGTTCTGCCAGCAGCAATGAGAGGAAGGGAGTCTGGAAACAGGTAAGGAAGGAACTGCCAGGTGTTTCCAGGGCATGCAGCTGTTTGGGGAGGATCAGAGAACAGCACCAAGAGGCAAAAAGCAAACGAGCATGCAGGAAAGGGAAGGTATACACCATACCAATGGGCATGGGGCATCCAGGCCGTCCAGCCCAGGTAACCCCGGCTCACCCTTCTCGCCTTTAAAACCTCGGAGACCCTGTTCATGAAATCAACCACTATCGTTATTTCAGTCAGTGCCAGGCACCTGCACGCCCCAGGAGGAGAGGCTGAGTGCCTGCTGGGACTGGCACAGACAGAGCACTCAGCTGCACACCCAGCACTGAGTCCTGTCTGCACACTGAGCTGTGCAGCAGCAGTTTCTGTCTCTATGAGCCGGGAGATGCTTCTCTGAGAGGATGGGGATGGTGCTTCCTCCATTCCAAAATCAGCCATTCCTCCCATCCTCACTGAGAAACCCAGCAGCTGGATTTCTAAAAGAATGATCCCCAGGTACTCCTGGAATTTGTGGCACTGCTAGCAGATTTCTGGCAGTGTTTGCTGCAGCATATGAATTTAGATAAAAATGTACACATATTCCTGTATTTATTCACTCATCCAGACTTATAGCCAATCTGTTTTGACAGAAACACATCCCATTTAGGATAACTGAGACTTGTTTTCCCTCTGGGTAGTGCAGCTCAAGTGCCCTGTGTGCTCTCAGGCCATCACATCAGCTGGCTGTTACTCCAAGGCAAGGAACCAGCATTGCAGTTTTGCTGTCAGGTAGCTTTGATCCCATGGAGCATCTCCAGAGAAGAGCTGGAGCCAGCAGCAAAGGAGACAGGGCTCGATCCACAGTGGAGAGAGCCCTGAGCTCCCAGCACATGGCACACCCCATGTACCCAAACCTTTGTCTGGAAGAGGAAGGAACATAACCATGGTCACTCAGCAGCCTGATCTCTCAGAGGATCAGTTGGTCCCACAGGCTGTGGTGGGAACCCAGCTGGGCTTATCCAAATGTTGTACTTTTGCAAGACCATTATTTATGTTATGATTTCCTTCTGTCTTCCCCATCAACACATCTTAAAACAATACATTTGATGAAACAGGACATACCAACGGACAGGGTGCATCTAATCCAGGTGCTCCTTGGTCTCCCTTATCCCCTTTAGACCCTCTAGAGCCTTTCTTGCCCCTCTCCCCCTGTAAATAATAGTTTAGTCCAAGAAAAAAAGAATACACAAAAGCTTTAGGATCATCCATTTCAAACAAATGTCAGCGATAGTTTAAAAAAGGATAAACATTTAGGAAACATTTTAAAATCAATCTCCCTCTGAGATGTGAAGATCAATGTTTGGAGCTGCTGAGCTGTGGCTGAGCTGCATAAACACTGTGGCTGTGGCTGCAGTCCCACACAGACAGGGCTCAGCACCAAAGGGATCCTCACACCACTTCCCAGGGCTTCCCATCCATCAGAGAGGGCACCTTGGATGGGAAACCAGGATGGAAACCACCCCTCTGGCCAGCACTGTGCCTCCTTATCTCCATCTCCAGCTGGCTGGGAAGGTCCCTCCTGCACTGGGGCTCTGGGATAGCACTGGGATGCTTTTTTACCCCTCTGAATTCCCATTCTGACACAAAGTCTCACTCAGGGACCTGTCAGCCAGGTCTGTCAGTCTGGCTGTCCTTTGGGATGCTCTGAGTTGTGCTCTCCCAAAAAACCTGTTGGACCAGGGAGTAATCCTAGGCAGCACAGCCACAGGGCAGCAACTGGTCCCTGATCCTTAACTGGCAGCACAAGGCAGGGCATAGTGTGGTGTTTGCCAGTTATATCCACACCAAATGCTCCTGTGTAACAGGAAATTCTCAAAGCTGCTGAGCATCCAACAGGGGGAAGGGGCTGCTGCACAGGGAACTGAGCTCATGGGGAGTGTTAAAGGAATTAAGGGATAAAATCAGACAGCACAGGCTGCTGCTTCTTTAAAAAAAAAAAAAAGTGTTAAACCCAAAGCTGGCAAGAGAAATGGAAGGGAGAGGAGAGGCAATGAGGAGAAATCACCCAGAACCAAGCACTGGAATGGAGAGGATAATCCAGGAAAAATGCAGCATGGGTTGCTCTGGAGGAAGGAACCAGGAAGAAAGGTGGAAGAGGAGGAAGGGATAAAGGGGACAAAGGTGGACCTGTAGGAGCAAGGAAGATGCACAAACACACACAAACCCCCAGCATTAAAACAGCAGCAGGACAAGTTCAGGGCTCCCACTTTTTCAGCTGGCTTTCACAAAATGCTGCCTGTTCCCCCTGCCATTAGTGACACAGCCATGCTGATCTGCTCCAAGCAGAGAGCAGCAGGAGCATTCCTGGGATTTAAAAAGCATAGAGAAAAAGAGAGGATTTTGGCAAACTGGGACTTCAGAGTAAGGGGAAACCCCTGTACAAAGGGTCAGTGGCAAAAGGGGTATTCTCTAGGGTCCCCTAAGATATTTTACTTGCCCATTCACACTCCTGAGTCTCTCTCACTTTTCCATTGAAACCATGGGCTGCAGTGAGGCAGAGTGCATTCATGCCAGCAAAACTGCCCATTCGTGCTTTCCAGCTCATCCTCTACAAGGAATTGCAATTTCTCCCAGTTTTCACTTGCTTTTATGCCAGAGCTCAGAGAAATCCCATTAATGAAAGCCAATGAAAGAGCCTTCTTTTAACTAAGGCACTCAGTTAAAAAGCCAACTGAAAAAGTCCAGGAATTAAAAATGACAGTTTTTTAGAAGAAGCCACACGTGCAAAACAAAAGTGAAGTGAAAGTTAAGAAGCAAAGCCAGAAATGCAATGATTAAAAAAGGGGAGAACTTAGGTGTTTCCATGAAACTTGAACCTTTCTCCCCTAGTTTAAGATGCCAGTTGGCTAGTGCTGTCCAGAACTGTCCTTTCTGTGCAGAGTAAGGTCAGAAACCCATTGCAGATAGAGGATAGAGAACACTCACTACACATCAAAAGCAAATCCATATAACGAAATCATCACATGGGCACATGCACTATAAATAATTACACCTCCAGATAAATTTAGGTGATGCCAAAGTCTTATGAATAAAAGGTGACTACATACACTTATATAAATGTCAAGAGGTTCAATACAGTACAATTGCAGTGTTACAGACTCAAATCCAAAAGTAATTTATATTTCTAAATATAAATTATATGCAGCCACAGCTCCTAAATGTTTTTACCAAAAATATCCAGATTCAAAGCCTTAACAGGCAAGAAAACCTGATGAAAAAGAAGGAGCTTCTCAACAGACACTTCTTAGCAATGTTTATCTTTCCATAACACAGGTGGTACAATGGGAAAGCTGCCATTCCTGTCACTGGGTTTGACCCAGCTCTTCACCATCACATCAGGACAATGCCTGAGGAGACTCCAGGCCTGATTCTTCAAGACAGGCAAATTGAATTTATCTTTTCAAAATTTCCATCTTTCAAATTCTCTGCAGGATTGTCTGGTAGAAGACAACCTTCTTTTTCATGCTTCAGGGATAATTTAGAAGTACTGAAATAAGATTTGCTGGCTGCACCTCAGCTAATTCTCCCAGGAATCCCTACACACACCAGGAACTAGGGAAGCAGGATTTCCTAAGGCACACCAGGCTGGCCTGACTCAATCCTGTGCTTCAGTCAGAACAGAGGTGTGACCACATCAGAAAATCCCTCCTAGAGCCTTCAGCGAGGTGCAGCCCAATGTTGCAGGTGATGGAATGAGCTACAGGTCTCACATCTAAAGCACAGGTGTGTGAAGTGACTGGGATGAAGGTATGGCACACAAAGCCATGCTGGTGCCACAGGAGTTCACTGGGCTGGCACTGAGTTCAGGTGTTAGCAATGACACACAAGGTTTGCTGCTAACTTACCCGGACTCCCTTGTCACCAGGTAGACCTTGTAAACCCTGGAATGCATCAACACAGAAAGAAACATTTCAAAACAAGCAGATTGCACCATGTTCTCACTAAAGAGAGGAATGTGTGCTCAGGATTTTGTTGGGTTTTGGGTTTTTTTTTTTACATTTGTAGCAATGGCTATGTCAAAAATACACAAAACTTTTCCAGCAGGGAACCTCCTCTTCACCTCCATCAGACCATCCAGGGGTAACATTACCACTACCTACTCCATGGACTCCTCAGATAAGAAATAAATGAGTTATGGGCATGCTAAACCCTTCCTTTTTTGTGTTAAACAACAAAGCCACTCCAGGACTGCATGAGACCACAGCACCAACACTGGCCCCATTTTGCCAAAAGCAACCCCAGAGTGTGGCATTAACCTCACTGAAGGCAGCTTTGGGCCCTGCAATGACAACATAGGGCTCTCTCAGACAGGTGGGAGGTACCCAGGCTGTGAAAGGTAAGGGAGCTGCTCAAAAGCAGCATTTTGGACTAAGAGACACATCCTGGAGTCCCACACAGCTTCTTTAGGTAGTTCAAGGACCAAGGTGAATTTACAATTTCCTTTCAGCCTCCTCCACATCACTTTGAGTCTGCTCTGAAGTTACTCAGCTTTTTCTGTCACTGCCATAGTGAACACAATCTTGTAACTTGAGTTACAGCAAACCCAGCTGTGGCTGCAAACACTATTACAGAGCATCTTCAGCTGTCAGGCACAGCAAGGAAACAGGCTCTGGAGGTAAATCCCAAGGATTTCCATACTTACAGGAAGCCCTGCTGGCCCCATTGGTCCTGCAACTCCAGGATCTCCTTTACTGCCCTGAAATGGACACAAAAGAGCAGAAACTGTTCACATTCCTATTTAGTACAAACAGGCAGCAGAGTACCATAGAAGAAAAAGCAAAGGATGCTTTTCAAAGCACCAGAAAACCCCCAAGGATGAGATACTGAAGCACCTAAGAGGCCCAGCTGAGGCTCTTGTATGAACTAGGAGAGGGCAGTTCCAGCTCTGGAAAAGCCTGGAGCTCCTCTATCCCCTGAGCTGTGGTATCTTCAGAGAAGTTCTAGAGCATCTGCCAGTTCTGAAGAAAACTCACCCTCTCTCCTTTTGGTCCTGCTGGTCCTGAAGGCCCAATTGGTCCTGGAATACCCTGCAGTTGTAGGAAGGAAAACACATCAGGATGCTTTTATTTCAGGCCTCCTTTAAGCCAGGAGACACTGCTGCTCCCTTAGGAAAAGCATAGGCTGGTGGAGGAAGGCACCTAGCAGCACTACAGCTTTCAGTGTTGGTGGAGATGGATTTGTGGCTGGCAAGGCAATTTGAGGACCATGGGAACTACTGTGTTAGATCACACCAGCACCACTGACAGAGCCTCATTTTTAATTGTCAAGCTCTCTCCTGACAATTATTTCAGCAGGCATTTCTACCAGCTCCACAAACAGGAATTCTTTCTTTCTAGGCTACACCAGACAAGGCTGAAAGCTGTAGCAGAATTACACAGAATTACATGATAAACAATTTGCTTTTCTTTCTGCTTATTTCCTTATTTTCTCTACCCCCTCCTGGAGTCAGCGTAGCTGAGGAGATGGGAAGTGTTGGGTCAGTGGTTCATGCAAGCTGACAGAGCCCAGGCTGCAGAGCTGGATGCAGGTGTGTACAGGCACAGGTGTGAGCTGGGAGGGGCATCCTCCAGTCCCTCTGCTCCTCCTTTGCCATTCCTGTCACTCCACCAGGCTCCCAGCAGGAAAACCCAGTGTTTTTCCTAAGCCTTTGACACAGAGCCCATCTCCCACCAGCACAGCAAAGCTCCTTGCTGGTGCTCCTGAGACTTGCCTGGCCTCTGGGAAATCAATCAAAGCAATCTTGAATGTTGGCAGCATGGTGGTTCATTAACGCCCCTCTGGCTCAGAACAGGATTGCAGCACCTCCAACTCACACTCCTTAAACCACATAGCTATGGGTCTACAATGGCCTCATGGAGCCTCAATAAAGGGATTGTTTTGAGGCACATTGCCTGACTCCTAGGAAGAGCCAAGGAGCAAGCTTCCCAAAAAGGAGAGTCTTTTTCTAAAAGCCTTAAAGCAAAGGGGTCTTGTACATTTTAATGGCAGTCTGCAATGCTTGGTCACTAATGTAACCCCTCTGATGAGAGCAGGACAGCTCATGTGGATCAGGAGAGCTTTTCAGAGAAGATCCACAGAACACAAGTTGAGGAGCAGCTCATGCAGCACACAACTTCAGTGTGGCAGAGAGAAAAACCAGGCTCTCCTTAGATCCCTGCAATCATGGAAATCTTAATTGCCTTCACTTATGCACCATTTACTGCTAAGGAATACACTGAAATCTCCCCTGCACTTCTATAAAATTGTATCTCCAGTTTCCCAAACAAGTGGCTCTATAAGCTGCCACTCAGATTCTCTTCAGAAGTCACAGCAGCTGAAATGATTCCCTACACTGCTACACTGAGGAGGAGAAATTGCTTTTTGTTTTTAAATAGCCAAATGGATTGTACATGGGTGATCTGTGATTTCCCAAGAGGGATTAGAAATATTTGGCTGTTATTTAACAGCTGTCACCCAAGAATAGCAGAGTGGTTTGCAGAACCAGGTTGGCATTACTTAGAATCATAGAATGGTTTAGGTTGGAAGGGGCCTTGAAGATCATCTAATTCCAACCCCCTCCCATGAACTGGGACACCTTCCACTGGACCAGGCTGCTCCAAGCCTTGTCCTACCTGGCCTTGAACACTGCCAGGGGAGGGGCAGCCACAGCTGCTCTGGGCAAACTGTGCCAGGGCCTCACAATAAAGAACTTTTTCCTCATATCCAACCTAAACCTACTGAATCTTTCATTTTGAAGCCATTCTCCCTTGTGCTGTGACTACAGTTGCTGATGATGAGTCCCTCTCCCATCTCATGGAGAATGACAGGTTGGAGACCTGCCAGGATGAAGAGGACAGGAGAACAGAGCATCATGGAATCATGCAGAGGTTTCATTCCTCTTGCTCCTGAGACAGAGTGGAACAAGCAGGCTGTGATCCCAGCATCCAGACTGGTAGCATCAAAGAAGACAAGGGTGTGATAACACTCCTCATTTTCAAGTTTAACCCCCTCCCAAGCCTGCTTTGGTAAAAATAAGATTTTTGCTGGTATAAACAAGACTTGGGTGGAAGACACAACACGAGTCACGACAGTGGGGAGGACAAACATGGGGTAACAGAGAAGTGGAACTCACCGCTGGTCCAGGCCTGCCGTCTAAACCTGAAGCACCCTGAACAGGCAGGGAGGGGTCACAAAAACAAGGCAGAGGAGAGGGGAGGGGAGATGTGAGTCAAGCAGTGACTTGAGACAAACAAATGCTTGCAATTAACAAAAATTAAGGACAAGTGATGGCACTTACAAACAAACCAACAAAAACATAGAAAGACTGAATACACGTAATGTTGACCTGCAACTTTCATATCCTCTTAAGAGTGCAAATTTCCCTCACTCAATGCCACCAGGAAAACTCCTGGGGAAGCAGCTGTTCTATGACAGGTGGTGAAAAGAAAATGTGACAGTGGAGCTGGAATCTGCACTGCCTTTGTGGCAGGCTGGGCAACACAGGTGAGACACAAGGCTCAGAGGCCTCTGCTCACCAAGGCATTTACAGGCACTGCAGAGCCATCAGCTGTTCAAGTTGCTACCATGAAACCCAGAGCTTGTGGTGCCCACTAGGTCAGCTGCAGGCTTGCTCCACTCCACATGCAGTTGTTTGGGGGCTTATGAAACAGGTGGCTCATCTCCCTGTGTCACCAGGGCAGATTTACACCAGCCTGAGATCAAGTGGCCCCTTGCTGTCTGCTCAGCTCCTGCCCTGAATTTCCTCATCCACAAGGCCTAACAGTGGTTCTGCCCAAGGGCCATCAAGCCTTGTCTCAGACAGTGGTTGAGAGGGAAACTGTGGTAGGATATAAGTACCAAATCCTGAGCTTTCCTCCACTTGAGCATTACAAGCTCCTCACCCTGTCAGCCAAGGCTACTGCAGATAATCAGGTCTGGAATTCCAGTGGGATGTCAAGCCCCAAGTCAGAGAAAAAGGCAGCAGATCCAGCTTCAGGATTTTACAGCCTGAAATATTTCAGAACTTGCTTGGCACTGCATTTGGTTTGACAGGCTGAAGATACACTGGATCAGCCATGGAAAAGCTTATGGAGAGAGTTCAGTGGCTCTGAAGAAGGGTACAAGTTCCACAGTAATCTGATCTTAGGAGCTGTGCTGCCTGGCTGGCCAGCCAATATTGCTGATCCCAACAAAACATTCCTAAGAAGGTCCTTCTGAGCCAGTATTCCCACCTCCACAGCCCAGGAAGAGTGATGGGAAAAGCCAAGGACCCAATGGGGCTCACTGCTGTAGGAGCAGCAGCTAGCACATTCCCTGCCACAAGGATGAGATGCTGGGATAATGGTTGGCCTGATTCTGCTTGGGCTGTCACAAGGGCCTCCTTCCCCTGTCTGGATACCCCACAGGCTGGAGGGAAAATAACCATTTACAGAGGAAATTTCCATTTGCATGTCTCAGGGGACTGGGTTCTGACTTCTCACTGCTTCACTGAGGCACAGTCCCTGGCCTGTGAGCCCTCCAAAAGCAGCAGCCCTTCCTCCCCACTGCTCTGCCTGGAGCCCCAGGGAATGTGCTCAGGCTGGGCTCATCTGAGAGCCTGGAGTCAGAGGGGATTCATCCAAGCTCTAGAAGGGAACCACTGCTCTGCACAACTAAAGGAGGAAAACATTTTACAGACAAAGACACACATTTCAGCCAAAGTCAGGGACAAGGGATCTGGGTGGTTGAACACAGGACAACAAGCAGATGAGATGAACTCTGCAGTGTTTGTACATTTGGGGAAGGTCTACTGTGCCACCAGTGCTTTTCATGGTGAGAGAACCTGGGGGCTGGTGGAACAGCTGGGTGGGACTAGGCTATCACCAACTCATCATCAGGTTTGTATCTACAGCTCCTGCAACTCCTCTGTAATACACTGTGCCCCAATGTCTCTTGCTAAGCCAAGCAGTGCTCTAACCCCAGGCTAATGAGCTGAGCTCACACACAGCAGGACAGGCTGGGCCAGGGGGAGCACTGATCCCATGGCAGAAGGGACAGGAATGTTCCAGCTATCAAAGCTGGTTGCACTAAGAACCACCATGCTTTGTACAAAGCTTAGCCCAGGACACAAATGGCTGGGGAAGGTTTTTCTCTTTCCACATCTCTGACTTATGTCCCTCATCTTGCCCTCAAGTGCAGAGAACCCCCAGGAAAGCCACTGCTGGATTTCCCCAGTCCTGCCAGAAGCAGGAGGAACTAAAGTGATCACTCATCTATTCAACAGATGCAGAAGCTGAAGGCTCAGCACAGAAATCGAGGCTTTGGGTTTAAAAAGCAAAGGCACAGTTATTTATAGACCATCTCTTTCTCTGACTTTACATAGCAAATCCCCACGTGCCTGTCCTATTGAGGGATCCTTTTACAGCTGCCATGAAGTTTGGCTCCCAAAGTGCTGCTTGCTTCCTGGATACTTACGGGTAATCCCAGTGGCCCTCTGTCTCCTTTTTCACCCTGGGCACCCTTCTCTCCTTTCACTCCATCAATCCCTGCTTCCCCCTAAAGGAAGGATGGAGCAGAAAATAAACCCACCAGAACAGCACTTATATAACAAACATTCCTCCCCTCAGAGAGCACTGGCAATGCAGGAGGCAGCAGGGCAATGCTTTAGCCCAATTCCCAGCCCAATCTCAAGAAAAGCACTGTCATTCCAATTGCCCCTGTGGGAGCACCTCTTCTAACTCAGTGGCAATCAGAGGAGACTCAGGCCCTGAGATAAAGATGTTCAGAGGAGAGCTGAGCTCACTCCAGTGCTGCTCTCCCTGCTGCTGTTGCTGTATATATATTTATATATAAATATAAATAACCAGAAGTTATCTGATACAGTGGGTTTACATTTTAAGATGTGGATCCACTGGAAGTGAGTGACAGGTGTCTACAAGCCTTGAAGAAAAATCACACAGAAATAATTTTTGGAGAGACTTTTGTAAATGCTATGGCATCAGTTTCAACATTGCAGAAAAAACAATTTCAGCATTCTTTTCCCAGCTGTATATTTTAAATTCTCCATTATGAACTATAAAGCAATATTAAACATAATACTCATTTTACTTAAATTCAAAATGGACCCAAAACTTCTTTCCTCCTCATTGCTGTTCATGAGGCTTTTTAAAACACACCCACCCCTTTTGGTGCCCAAACAATGCTGGTGGCCAAATACTAAGAATAATTAAAATTAAGACACTTTGCACATTTTCCAATCTTTGCCCAGAATGTCACCAGAAATATGCAGCTCTCCTTGAACATTTCTAGTCCCCTATTTTTTTTGTGTAGGAAACAAGGAGCAAGCCAATGGTGCAGGCTGAGCATTTAGATGGAGATTAGAAAGATTCTCACCACCAAGGATGGTGAAGTTCTCAAGTGCTTTACAACAGAATGTACAGGGTAATTTTAAGACTAATTTTTAGCTAGAGCTCAGTTCCTTAGGACTGTGGGGCAAACTATTCATCCCACTGTACAGACCCCCACCCTCCAGACAAAGATTTCAACTGTGTTCTCATGGTCAGAATTCCACAAACCAGTGAACTCCCACTTCTCTGGGTTAAAACTGGAGGGAATGACCGTTTTCTGGGTCCTAAAATGAGAGCTGCTAATCCATTTCCTTCAAGAAAATATCCAGAAGGATTTATCCTCTTACCAAGAAGGAAGAAAAAATACCAGCTGAACTACAAAGATGTTACTGAAGGGAATTCTAGCACCTGGGACAACAACAGCATGTGATACTTTGTACCCTTACCTTGGGTCCTGGGACACCCTGAAGACCCTGTATTTGGGAGGAGAGACAAGATGTAAGCAATGTTTCAGGATGTTTTTAAACTCCAGGAATCCAGTGAAGCATGCAGTGCAAAGGTTTTGCTCTGTGGGGCAGGAACCCCCAGCCCCAAAGCCTCTTTATTTGTGGAAGGGGACTTCATGTCCTGTTCTCACCTCCACCCAGGAGCCTCTTGCCAAGCACACCCTGGCAGGGGGCCAGGGCTGCTGTTCAGACAATTTCTGCAGTTGATCCCTTTAATCCCATCCATCCCATCTCACTACTGTCTTCCCTTTCATCTCCAGCTAACAAAACCTTCTTTCTTTGCCCTCCCAGCCCTGACCTACCCTGGGGGTGGGTTTGGCAGTGATGCCAAGCATATTCCCATTTCAGTGAAGAGGTTCTGGCTGTCTCCACACAGAATCCTCCCCAGCCACTGCCTGCTCCAATCCCATTCCCATTCCCTTGCTCCTCAGGTGAATGACTCAAACTTACTGGAGGTCCTGGAGGGCCCTGGGGGCCAGGGGGCCCAGACACCTGAAAAGCAATGGAAGAGAAGTCACCCTCAGGGGCAAAGTGGGGCTGCTCAGGGGGGAGAAAGGACACAGGGTGCAGCAGAGCTCCTCTGCCAGCCTGGGAAACCTGGATTCCACCTAAGGACTGTGTTAGGAAGCAGCAGCAAACCAGGACTGAGTGGCTGGGAAGCAGCAGCAGCACTCAGGGGAGGGTTATGTAAAAGTTGCCAATCTTTAAGAGGAGGGAAAGCAGTGAGGTTTTTTCCAAAGAAAGGTCCACTTCCACTTCTCTACCACCATTCCTACAAGGAGGCATAGGGTTGTCACTGTCATATTTTCTGAAAAATCCCCTTGTCCAGGATTCTTCTCCTGGGAAGCTGAGAAGCCTCAGGAAAAAAAAAAAAAAGGAAAACAATATTATCTCATTTGCTTCTCCTGTGTTTTGCTACTGGAGATTGTTTATCCAACATGTGAATTGTTTTAACTTAATGACCAATCACAAGTTTTCATTCTTATCTTTTAGCCTTCTGTCTGTATCCCTTCTCTATTCTTTAATATGGTTTAGTATAGCATTCTTTAATATAATATAGATCATAAAATAATAAATTAACCTCCTAAAAACATCAAGTCAGATTCATCTTTCCTCCCCATGATGGGGGACCCCAAAAATACCATGTAGGGTCAAAAAGCAAAAGATATTAAAGAAGATGTCTGGCTCCACATGTGTCAGTAGCCTGTGGGACTTCTTGCTGCAGGGCACTCCAAAGCCAGGGGTGAGCTCTGAGGGAAGAACAGGTGAATTCAAGAACACCAAAATCTTTGGGGGAAAAAAATACATGTGTATATATACACATGCAAATAATTGCCAGGAAATCACTTACTGCAAATGCTGAGGAAAGTATTTGTTATGCTTTCCAGGACCTGTTCTCCCCTAGGCATCCCTTATTGCTTGGGGCTGGTGAGACAGACTGTTCTTGTGTCAGGGAAAGGAGAGATCAGGAGCCAGAGGTGCTGCTGCAGCCCCACAGCATGAGGCTGGCTGTCCCCAGCCAGGGGGTGTCACCAGAGGGGCTGTCCCAGTTTCCAGCAGCACTGCTGCCACATCACCCCTCCCCTGCTGCTGAGACCACACAGGGACACGGAGCAGGGCCCTACCAGTGTCACTGTCACATTTTCTGAAAAATCCCTTTGCCAGGATTTCTTCTCCTGGGAAGCTGAGAAGCCTCAGAGAAAAATGAAAACAATAATTATCTGATTGCTTCTCCTGTGTTTTGCTGCTTTGGAATATGGTCTGGAGATTGTTTATCCAACAGGTGAATGTTTGATTGGTTTCATGTGAATTGTTTTTACTTAATGACCAATCACCATCAGCTGTGTCAGGACTCTGGGGACTCAGTCACAAGTTTTTAATTAGCATCTTGTTAAGCCTTCTGATGCATCCTTTCTCTATTCTTTAGTATAGCATTCTTTGATATAAGTACATAAAATAATAAATTAACCTTCTAAAAACTTAGAGTCGAATTCATCAGTTCCTCCTTTGTCCTGGGAACCCAAAGAATGCCACATCCCAGCTCTCCTGGATTCCCTTTGTCTCCCCAGCTCTCCCTTTTCTCCCTGCACACACCAGCAGAGCCCATCACCTCTGGCTGTGCTCTGGAGCTCCCCTGAGGCTGCCTGTGCACCCCCATGTGCTGGCTCAGCAGCTCCCCCAGGAGAGGTGGAACACACCATGTTTGACATTCCCTGTGTGCTGCTGGAGCCTGAGGGACATTCTGTGACCCCTAACAAAGGGGGAGGGCTCTGAGGCTCCCAGGACACTCAGCACTTTGGGAAATGAGCCCTCGTGTGCTGCTCTGTGCTATTTTCTCTTTACCAAGGAAAGAGCAGCCTTTTCTTTTCCATTCTTACTGTCAATCCTGGAAGTCCAATGGGCCCTGGCAATCCTGATGGTCCTGGCATCCCTTGGTCACCTTGTTCTCCCTTCTCTCCAGTGGGGCCATCTAGACCCTACAGATCAAGAAAGATTTGTGGAGTTTTGCACAACTAAGTCAGGCAGACATATAACATATCAATATTAGAGTCAAGACTGGCTCTGGTCATCCCAAGAGTACTCTGAAAACCCTGGGCATCCACTGGGTATCCAGAGAAATGCAGGACTTCACTAGCATTGAAAGCAGAGGGACCAATGGCTGAACATCCTCCTGTCACTGCGGATGTACCAGTCCCCAGGGTGGGGATGGGGTGCTGCTTTCCTGCCTCCAGGTTCTGCTCAGGGTTATGCAGTTTGCTGGAGTCCATGCAAGCAATCACTCCTCACAGCCAGCTGTTGAGACAGCAGGAGTTTCACCCTGGCAATCCCATGAAGAGGCAGGAAATCATTGCACAAACGCCCCTGAGCAGTGCTGGGGACACAGGAGCTGGGACAGACTGGTGCTAGGTACTGTGCCCCAGTGAGTGGCTGGGTTGTGAGGGGCTCCCCATGCAGCTGCCCTCCCAGAGGGGGTGTGCTGGTGCCTCAGCCTCCTCTCACACTCACCCTGCCCACTCCCAGCAGCATTTCAGTGCCAGCAGAACACAGGCAGCAAGCTGAGCAGGGCACACGGTGCCCAGAGAGCAGGACAGCCGCTCCAGCAGGAGGACAGCACACGTGCCAGGCAGGCAGGACCTCCTGAACTGTGGCACCTGAGCCAGCAGCACCCACCTTGCAGGGAGCCCTGGGGCCTTGCCCCATGAGCTGGGCAGGCAGCAGGACCTGGAGAGGCTTTGATTCACTCACCGGTGAGCCTGCTTGTCCTGGCTCTCCCTTCTCACCCTTCTCTCCTCTGCCCCCAGCGTGGCCTGGCTCTCCCTTCATCCCAGGAGGTCCATCCTTCCCTGGCAGCCCCTGAGGCCCAGGGGGGCCCATTTCTCCAGGCTTGCCACGTGGTCCCTAAATGAAATTCACACAACAAACAGCTTACAGACAGAGTAAGGCTCAGAGCCTCTTTTTTCTGCTCATCCTTTCCCTCCCAGCTACACCCTTGGGAGACAGGACAAAGTAGCACTGCCATGACAGATGTTAGGACACTGACAAACCATTAATGCTGCTTTCTGGGAAGCAAAATCCTTTTTTTTCTTCATGGGAAAAGCAACTGTGTGATGTCAGTGGCAGAGATGAGCCCAGGTAAGGCCTCTGAAGGGAAGAGCATTGTGCCTTACCTTTTCTCCATCATGGCCTGGAGGACCTGGCAAGCCAATTTCACCCTGAAACACAGAATTGTTACTTTGGCACTTTGAAAGCAGCTATTCTGACTCCTTCTGTGTGAAAAAGGCAGGCATTGAAGAAATAGTCTGTATGGACTACTCACAGGAAAAAAAAGCAGGAAAAATCCAAATATTTTTCCTGTAATCATCAAAAATAAAACCCTTGGGTTTTTCTGTAATAATAGAATTTAAAAAAAACAACAAAACAAAAAAAAACAAAAAAAAAAAAAAACACCAAAAAAAAAAAAAAAAAAAAAAACCACAAAAAACACCAAAAAAAAAACCCCCATGGAAAGCCCTGTTGAAACATCACATTATGTGACTGGCTGAGCATTTTCCCCATCTTGTTGATCCTGACAGCCAGCTCCCAGTGCAGCCATGCAGTCCCCAGCCAACACAATCCCACAGTTTGGTTCCCACAAGCTGCTTCCTGAAGGGGAGGGCAAGTAGAAAGCATCCTTCATCTTTCAGATTAGGCATTATCATTGTGGGAAAAGAGATTTTCAGGATATTATTGTGTGTGAGAAGGAGTGGCAGAGGACAGCAGGACAGTCTGATAGTGCTGGACAGGGACAATACCTTCTGTCCTGGTGGCCCTGGAGGCCCAGCCACACCTGGACGTCCTGGGGGTCCCTAGAAAATGAAAAAAATATTTCCATATTTGTATTTTCCTAAGTTTAAGGGGCAAACAGAGAGGAATACTCCAAGGGATTCCCAAAATCGTATTTTGCTGGGAAGATGAGCAATGGAGAGCCCTGAGAGCCCCTGCTCCTTCTGAGCAGCATGTATGAGCCCTTAGAGCAGAGAGATGAAAGCCCTGATTAGAATTCAAGTGCCAGGATCAGAAGGCAAGATGAGCTCTTCTTTCAGCTGCCAGCTGCCCCAGCTTTAGCTCCCAATTGCAAAGGCCAAGTGTTTTTGCTGCACCTAAATTGTCAGGCCATCTGCTTAGGATGGACATATGGCTACTTGTGTAAAACCCCACAGCATGGGCAGGAACTCACCATCAAGGCCAAAGTTCGTATTTCCTAGGGGAAAAAAAGTGAAAAAAATTAAAAAATAAAATAACCATTGGAAAACTTAAGCTTTTTCCTTGACTTGGCTTGTTCTCCATTAATGTAACACTGGCTCAAATGAGTAAGGAGCTTACAAAATTAAGAAGAGGGAAAAAAAAAAACCAACAAAAGAAACCCAAACTAAAAACTCACTCCAAGTCCCACAGAGCTATTATTCTACAATTTCTCCATTTTCCCAGTGGAGCCCAGGCCAGTCCAGCTCACTGCACTCCATCCTCCCATTCCTTGTGAGGAAGCTTTGGTGACTTTATTCACCACCCACCCCACGCTCTGGGCTGCTCCCAGGACATTCATGTGACCTCTCTGTCCCCCAGGGTCACTGCACCAGCCCAGCCACTGTGGCATTCACATTCTCTGGAAAAATCCCTTTGCTCTTGGGAAGCTGAGAAGCTTTTGAGAAAAAAGAAAACAATTTTTATCTCATTTGCTCTCCTGTGTTGTGCTCATGTGGGATGTGTTTGAGGATTGTTTACTCACAGGTGATTGTTTCATTGGATTTTAGTGTGAGTTGTTTTGACTTTTTGGCCAATTGGGGCCAAGCTGTGTCAGGACTCTGGAGAGTCACAAGTTTTCATTATTTTTAGCATTCTGTGTCTTTTCTGTAATCTTTAGCATAGTATAGTATTTTTTAATATAATATAGTATCATAAAATAGTAAATTAGCCTTCTGAGAACATGGAGTCAGATTCATCATTCCTTTTTGCCACGAGGGTCCTTGCAAATACAACACAGCCAGTGCACAGGCCTTCACCAAAACACTGCAGGCAGTGAGCTGTGGGATGAAGGGGACTGTGGCACAACCAAAGCTTCCCTTTGCTGCTGCTGCTGAGGAAGCAGATCTGCACTGTTCCCTGTCTGCATCCTTTGGGAAATAGCCAAGCATCCAGCAGACACCTCACAGGACAGGGCAGCTGCTCACCTGCAGAGCTTCACTGATGTTGCCATCATAGTCCATCATTTCATCCTTCCCAGGCTCTCCTTTGGGACCCTGTAAAATACCAGGTGTTGAGACAGGGGCTGGGACTGCCCTTCCCTTGGGGGGCTCAGAGCTGTGGCTCACTCTGAAAAAGGGGGCTCAGAAGAACCCATTTCACCAGTGCCCAGTTTTTCACTTATTAAAGAAAGCCCCTGCAGTGCAGGAGATTTTACAGAATTGCAGCCAGCCCAGCTCAGCTCACCATGTCACAGCCATCAAAGCTGGCACTCTGGGAAGAGGAGAAGTTGAGGCTAGAAACCAGGAACTGGATTGTTTGACCAATTGTTAGAGGTGTGCATGGATCCACCCTCTTGCTGCCCTTTTCTGGTAGGTCAAGGGCCTGAGTCCAGGCTGGGATGCCCAAACCCACCTCCTCCTATGAATGAGCCACCCTGACACGGCCTGGGAGAATGTGGAGAATGTTCTCCTCTAATGTAGGGCTGAGGGTGAGGAGTGGAGAAAAGTGGAGGAACAGCCCACCTCAAACTTAGCCACTGCCCATCTGGGAGTACCCTCAGTCACAGCAAGACCCAATCTGGGCTGTCACTGAGGTCCCACTACCCTCAGACCCCTCTGAAGGGCCAAAACTGTCAGTGAAGGAACACCTACCCTTGGGCCCATGGGTCCCTGGTCTCCTGGTGAACCACGTTCCCCCTGAAACAGGAAATTCACAGTTTTAGCAAAGCTTCACTTTCTTGACCTACAGAAATCCTGCTCTGCAGTCTGGGCTAGACAGCTTGATTTAAAATTCTCCTTCTCAGCTAAGTTTTGTACACTCAGGCACAAGTGAGCAGCTCTGAAGCTGGGAATCAGAGCTGGGCTGTGCAGAAGCACTCCTTACCTTTTCTCCCTGTGATCCTGCAGCTCCAGGCTGACCAATGTCACCAGCTTCTCCCTGACAGGGACAGAAAGGGAGAGGCAGGGGTTTGTGTTGTGTTGAGAGGGTGCAACTCCACTGCTGGCTTTGCATTTCCAGGAGGAAGAGCTGCAGAACTGCACCAGTCAAGCACCCTTCCTGGGCTCCCTTCTCCTCAGGCAGCCCAAATCTCCTGCTGCCACTGCCCACCAGGCACCCTTCTGTTCCACCCAGTGCAGAGGGAGTGTTCACAATGGTTTCTCACAGTTATTTGAGCACAAGAAGGGTATTTTCCTCCAAAAAACAGTTCACAAACTCTCTCCCCTGCAGCATACAGAACAACAATACTAGAAGACTCTGTAGAACCTGGTATCCCTCTATCCCTCCAGCAGGTGATCAGAGGTGGGCACAGATGAATACAACCTTTGCTCCTTCCCACACACCTTGTGCTGGGCACAGTCCCTCACAACACACAACCCTGTGAAGGAACAATCACTCACCTTTGGTCCAGGGGGTCCAGGCAGACCTGGAGGGCCAGGTTCTCCTTTAGCTCCCACCAAGGCATTCTCAGCAATTCCCTTCTCTCCCTGTTTGCAAAGAAGAACAATCCACATGTCTCAGCTCAGACTCTGCACCTCTGTAAGTTCACTTGCTAAAACACTGGCTCAGAGAAACACAGCCAAGACAAGATCCATCAGCTGGACTCTTGATAGCCCAGAGAGCTGCTCCAGGGCAGCAGCTGGCCAGGAACCAGGACAGCAGCTCCTGCTGAGGGTCCTTGTGGAGCTCTGCCAGCTGCCAGGGCCATGCTCATCCCTTTGGCTGCACCAGGCAACACAAGGCTGCCTGTGGACAGCCCTCATCCCCCAGCTTCCCCTTGAGCCCTGTGCTCTTCTGCTGATGAAACTGAGCTGATTAAACCACCTGACTGATGATGGCTTCTTCTGGAATGCTCCCTCTGGAGCTGTAGCCACCAGCCCTGCACACCACCATGTCCTTTGCACAGAGCAGATAATAAGGCAGTAACAGCAAAGCTTTGCCATTACACCCTCATCCCTTCCTGAAATGGCCATTGGCATTCAGTGCACAGTCCCCTTTCCCAAAGGAAAAGCACCCTGTGCAAGTCTGGTTTGAAAGGTGTGATTTGTACCTGGAAATCTCAGAGCACGGGGAAAAACCAGTTTCAGAGCTTGGCTTTATCTGACCTGCCCTGGGTCTCTCTGAGCACAGCAGTGCAGCTCCCCAGAAGTCCAGCTCCTCCTCATCCATGCATCTTGGAGCAGGAGGGAGGCTGAAATGCCATGTTACGTCTGGGGTCATGCTTTTAAAGGGGAACTACTGGAACATGGTTCCGTGGTCCTGCTCCCAGGACCACAACATCCCCTTTATTGCACAAGGGCATGCAATTTCTACAAAAAGGCATCTTTGGTGTGCCTCCCTCACAGCCCTGACTGAAGATGACATTCAGCTGAGCAGTGCAGGACATGCTGCCACAGTCAGCTAAGAATGTGTGAAATGCACAGGAGGGAGGGAGGAAAAGGGGTGAGGGTGGCCCCACCAAAAAACCAAAACAAAACCAAAAAAACCAAACAAAAAACCCCCAAACAAACAAACGAAAAAGAAATTCAGGAGACAGACAAACCTTTGGGCCAGGAAGTCCAGGAATTCCAGGGTCACCAGCTCGTCCCTTCTCACCCTGTTGGCAAAATGAACATGGTCAAGGCTGACTTTGCAGGCTCTCCATCCTGGTGATCTGCTCCTGGTTCCACACCCTCTTTCCCTTCCCTAGGGATTTTATTTTGGGCACAGAGCTTGAGCAGTACCAGCTCAAGACATTACACGTTCTTGCCCAACTTTTTGACTATCTCTGCACATCACTGCCATTTCTCTCCAAAGGAAGGTGAATGAGAAAGGGATCCAGGGTCCCCACTGTGCATTTTCCTTATCCCTCTGGTCTGCTGAACACTTTTCCCTGTCCCTTCTCCTGCACAGGCTTTCCCTGATCCACATGCCCACAGAAGCTGTTGCCCAGGGTGAATTTTAGCTGGAGTGCAGGACTTTCTCCATGCCCTGCTCCTCTTCCCTAGCTCCAAATGCCAGCCTCATCATGCTCCCAAACAAACCCAAGCAGTGCAGCATCTCAGCTGGCAGCCAAGCTCTGGGACACACACTGGCCATGGAAGCAGTGAAGGCAGGAGTGGCAGAAATGGCAAAGCCAGCAGCTGATAGTGGAAGGTGATGCCTGGAGAGCTGCAGGCTGAACTGTGTGAGGCACCATGGAGGATGCCAGGGCCAGTGAGCAATGGAGAGCACCCAGCATTCCCTTGGTGAAGTGGCTTTGCTCAGTTCACCATGACACCCAGGCCATATTTTCAATATTGGAGCTCAATTACTGGTCTGTTATGTTGAAGTTAAGTTCTCTGCAGACCATTCCACCCAGCTGCTAAACCCATGGTTTCCAGGCACAGTGTCCTGTCTGGGAGTCTGCATTTTGCCAGGACAGAGACATTGGAGGTTTCTGTTACCCTGAAGAGATGTTTCAAATGCATCCCCAGGGAAAGGTGTGTTCTTAGCCCCTATCCCCACAGCTCCAAGACTCAGCAGCTTGTACAGATTATACAGAACAACTCAAGCCCTCTTTGCCCCACAGGTGGCCATGCTGCTGGCCTGCAGAGGCTGTGCTGCTCATCAGAGCTCAAGGGCACCCATCTGACACACAGGGGACTTGCACCAATGCTCCAGGAACAGACATGCACTGGTGGCTCCCTGGAAAATAATCTACTAGGAGCAATATTTTTGTCAGGCAATTCTAGAGTGCAGTGACCCCTTTCTCCAAGGTAATTTGGCTTCCAGCCACCTGCAAGCCCCCTTCCCACCAGCTTTCTTTCCTTGCCAGAGCATGCACATTGCTAAATTAATGCTCCTCTCCCTGGAAAGAGGGAAAACATTTTCAAGACCTCATACCCAAGGAAAAGGTTTGGCATTGAAGGTTTTTATAAAAATATAATTATTAATCCTGTCCCAGGGCTCTGTGACTCCCCGATTCTGCTTTGGTATGCCACTTTTCATTCAAGGTCTGTTTTGAATACACGTGTCCATAAGAGCTACTGAAAACATCCTGTGCTGCCAGAACCAGGGTGCAAAGCAGTGGATTTCTTGAGGAAGGAGGTCAGATTACTGGATCCCTGTTTAGGCTGTTATTTCTGGAGTCAAGAGAAGTGGCACTGTCCTCAATCGTTCCCGGGACAAGACTGCATCCCAGGCATCTCATGCTGCCCTGGGATGTCAGGGCAGACAGGAACACACAAACACACACTTCACCAGGGGGGCAGAGCCAGCAGAGCACACACAGTCCCCTGCAAGCACCACAATGCAGGAGCACAGCACTGCCAGGACACCCAGCCCAAACACGCAGTGTCCTACCCGCTGCCCCCTCTTCCCTGGCAAACCTGGGGGGCCCATCCTCCCTGGCACTCCAGAATCTCCCTTGGTGGGGAAGAAAAGAGACAGAGAACGTTGTGTTACACGGCTGTCACGTGCTGTAACATAACCCAGCCAGCCTCACACGGGAGGAGGCAGCTGCTCCAGGATGGAGAGGGATGGGGCAGTGCTGAATGTGTAGGCAACCCCAGCAAGGGGAGAGATGAGTGAATTTGACTCCATGTTCTTAGAAGGCTAAGTTATTATTTTGTGTTACTGTATTATATTAAAGAATACTATACTAAAGAATAAAGGGTACAGACAGAAGGCTACAAAGAATGATAATAACTCGTGACTCTTTCCAGAGTCCTAACACAACTCGACAGTGATTGGTCATTAACTAAATACAACTCACATGCAACCAATCAAACAATCACCAGTTGGATAAACAATCTCCAGACCCCATTCCAAGGCAGCAAAACACAGGAGAAGCAATCAGATCATTATTGTTTTCATTCTTCTCTGAGGCTTCTCAGCTTCCCAGGAGAAGAAATCCTGGCAAAGGGATTTTTCAGAAAATGTGACAGTGACAGGGCAGTACTGCCCTGGGAACTCACAGCAGGTCACTCCACACTGACACAGGAGGGGACAGCCCTCTGCAGGGACGTGGGAAGGCTCTGGGGCACAGAAGTGCTGGGAGGCACAAGGGGGACAAGGGAAGGGGCAGAGGGAAGTTGGAAGGTATTCCCATGGACACACATGTTGCTCTGATTTTTTTAAGTTTTTCTAAGCCTTCTGATGTTTACATTCTTGCAATGAACTTTCTCACACACTTTCTGCAAATAACTTATTGTTTTGCATTCTTTTATAAAAGAAGAAAAATTTGATGGACTGTTGGTCCAGTGTCATTGGAGAGGTGGCACTGTCACCCTCCAATCCACTGCCACTCTTAGAAATCTATAAATGTTAAAGTCAAAAACTAAAGTCCCCCTTTTTTACCTTGAGAAGAGCAGTGTGTGCACTTTGTGTTATTTCATGCCCTGCAGTGACACACAGACATGAGCAGGAGGAGGGAAATATTTGCAGTAAGGTCTCTTTCTCACTGGGTATCACTGTATCCTACTACCAATTTGCTGAGAGTGGCAGGTGCCATTAGGGCCTGGATTTGGGCACTGGGAAGCACACAGACATTCCTCAGCTCCCTCAGCTGCTCAGAGAGGGCAGAAATACACAAACCAACCCGAAGTGCATGCTCAAAACCTCCTGAGAGTACCTTTTCTCCTGGAGTCCCAGGCTCACCCTGGTGAGAAAGAGACAGGAAAGTAGAGTGAGAAACCAGGAGGAGAGAGTACAAATCCTCCTAAAGCTATCAGAGTGGGGAAAAGAACATTCATCTATGGGGGCCTTAGCTGGTAAGTAAAGGCTGAGAGTGCTTCAGTTGCGAATTTTCGTGCCTGGAACCTCTTTTATCTTCATTAGCCAGCTCCCAGGCTGCCATAAGAAACCACCAAACCTCAGACTCACAGCTTCCATAGACCAGAGTAACCACCTTGCAGTACTTGCAGGTGTTTACCAGATCCAAAAGAGCAGAGCAAGACTCATGTGCTGGCACAGAGGAATTTGCCACTCCCTGCTCTGTTTTCCCAGGAGAGGAGCAAGGCTGCGGGTGCAGCCGGGGGAGGCTGTGCCGATCCGAGCTCAGCAGACCCGGGGCGAGGCTGCACGCAGGTCTGGTACCTCTGCCAAAGGAGGCAGTTCTGATATTCCCCATCAGTGGGAGCTGTCCGACCATTCTGCAGCGCCCTGCGCTCTCCCAGCTCCAGCCCGTGCCCAAGCCGAGGCACTGCAGCCCAGAACTGACCTTCATCCCTGCGGCCGCCATCCCGGGAGCGCCCTGGCAGAGAGAGCAGAGACAGCAACACCTTGTTTGAAATTAATCGGACACACATTCTTTAAAACGAAACAGTATCAGTCCGGTGAAAGTAAAAACGTAAAAATCCACATCTCCTCCTTTCACAGCTCAAAAGTGATGCTGGAACAGCACACAGCACACATCTTCATTCCCTGAGCAGCTGTTCACCCATGGCAGTGGCTCTGGGTTCCAGAAAGCTCTTCCAAAGGCAGGCACCATGAGCACAACCCAGACAAACAGACTGACACCCCCACCACCCCTGGTTCAGTCCTGCAAGTGAAGCAAAGGCCAACAAGCAGAACAGTGTCAAATAACTGAGGAATGCAAAGACAGACCAAGGACCAAAGCCCCTCCTCAAGGCTTGAGCCCAGATAGCTCAGCTCAAGCATCCTGAGAAAGGCTGGCTCATACCCTAGAGCCTTGGCCTGGCCATTCCCCCTCAGCCTGTTCTTATCACAGAAGACAAACCCTGCAGTAAAATGCTTCCAGGAGAGCTCTGAAGCCAGACACCTTAGAGGAAAAACCGGACTTCCAAGCACTGCAATTCAGGTGTCATTCTGCAGTGCAGAGCAAGCCACCACCATGGGACCCTGGAGTGTCCCTGCCCTGCCATCCAGACAGGTGCCTCAGGAGGCAGCTGCTCCCACAGGGACTGTCACACTGCCCTCAACAGCACTGATGCAAAGAGCAGGTTGTCCCTGTCATCCATCCTCTCTGAAATCTCTGTATCCCCTGTGTTAGCATTAGCCAGGTCCTGGTTAGAAAAGGTCCAGTTAAAAAGGCAAATATGAGGGATAACTAAGGAGGGGGGGGGGGAGTGAAGTGGTGTTAGAAGTTGGGAAATATGAGGGGGTGGGATGTAGCACATGAGGCAGTGCAGAGGACTGGGAGCCAAGTTCAAAGTGAAAAAAGCTGATAAAAGTTCAAACAAGGAGGAGTGGGGAGCCAGAGAGCAGCAGGATCATACCTCTCAGCTTTCTGAAACAGAAATCGGGGACAAAAGCTAAAAAACACAAGGACAGAAGATGGAGATCAGGGATTCTATGCAATAAATGGGGGAAAAAAGCATTCCAGACTGTCTCAGGGTCAGTAGGTTTTAGCCAATACAGGCTGGAGTCATGAAAGGGATAACGTGCAGTAAGTGCCTTTGGTTAGGACTTTGTAGAGCCTTGGGATGCCTGCTCCTCATTTCTCAGCCTTCAAACAGCAGTGACTGCAGACCATGTTATTTTCTAGTATTTACCCTCAAAGTGCAATGCACAGACATGCAGGGCTGCTCACACACTGACCCTGATTCATTGCTGTGTTAGCCCAGGCTCCCACCTGGGCAGCCCTGCTCATCCCAGCTGGGCTAATACACACCTGCAGTGCTCACCTGGGACAGTTTCCAAAATGCCAATTCCCTACAAACATCACAACTGGCTGCTCTCACTGGGTAAAGCATTAAGATCCTGATGTTGCAAGTCAGCATCAGACTGGGCATGCCATTTGCTCTGTAAACACATCTTCCCCCACCAGCGCCTTCGTGAATTAGGCCCTGAATTTTGCAATTTAGAAGCATGAATAATTCAGCTGAGGACAGTCACTGGCTCACAGACACACACACACAATGCCTGTGCATCAGGGGTGCTAGGGGTGAGGTCAGGCAGACAAGCATCACTCCCCTGGTCACAAGGTACCTTAGAGCCATGTCTTCCTGGCAGCCCTGGCATGCCTCTCTCCCCCTGCAAGCAGAGCAAGACACACAGAGAAAGACAGCAAGAGACAGAAGATGAGTCCTCCCAGGGCTCCATGGGGAGAGCCCAGGGCACAGGTGATGAGAAACCCTCCTGAGTGAGGTGAGGCCCTGTCTTCCCCACTGACTGCCCTAGCTGGGGCCATTGCCCATCAGTTCCCTCTGAAGCCTTACAGCAGGACTGACCCCACTGGAGTGCCACAGCCTCCACACCCTGCTCCCACATCCCAGCGTGCTGGAGGGCACAGGGAGGCACTCAGCCCGCAGTGACCCTGGCATGAACAAACCTATTTGGAGAGACACAGAATCCAAGGGTTGCCTTGTGCTGTTAGCCTGAATTTTGTCTGCTGATAACTGGAAAATAAAACATCTTCAGGCAATCTGCATACTGCTCCTGTAATTTTCTTCTGGGTGTTTATTCCTTGCTTGGAAGGGCTATTTAGCAGGGATATACGTGTGTATATGTATATATATACACACACATATATCCCTGCTAAATATATATATGTATGTATGTTTTTTTTTTAAAATAACTTTCTGTAATTACAGCATCCTGTGAACTATATTTTGTAAAACACTTTCTAATGTAACATCCATGACCTAGTGTGGGCACCTCCTGCCCTATTTTCAGCAGTAAGTAAAGCAATAATTAGGAATACTTTGTACTGGAGAACGTGGATTGGTCTCTCTCCTTCCCAACTATGCTCCTTGTCTTTTTTTAAGTGAGACCCAGCAGGGAAGACTGATGTTGTCTGCTGGGAGACACCCACCCTGCTTGCAGAGACCATCCCCACAGGGCAGCCCAGCCTGTGACAGCAAATTCCCCTTCCCAGAGACTTTCCTGGAAGAACTGCCTGCTTGAAGAGCTGTTTAATTCTTTCACCCTGCAAAAGCAAAGCCCCCTCGGTGAGAGGGAGCTCGGTAACCCCCACAGGGGCAACTCAGAGCAATCAGCTCCCGATGATGCTGGCACAGCCCCGGGCAGCGGCGGGATCACACAGGCACTAGCGCTAATTAGAGAGGGCAGCAACAAACGTGACACTGAGCCACTGAGGAACAGAAAGAAACCCAGCGCCGGAGAAAAAGCAGGAAAAACAACTCTGCGGAACATCTTTAAACCCTTAAGTGCTTGGAAGCCATGGTGGCACAGCGAGTACCCGCTGGGCTGCTCCCTTTGTGATCCCCGGTGCCGCAGCCGGGCAGCAGCAGCCGCACACCAAAAGCAGCCCCGGGATGGTGCAGCCAAATCCAGCCCAGGAGAAGCAGCCCCGGGATGGTGCAGCCAAATCCAGCCCAGGAGAAGCAGCCCCGGGATGGTGCAGCCAAATCCAGCCCAGGAGAAGCAGCCCCGGCATGGTGCAGCCAAATCCAGCCCACCAAAGGCAGCCCCGGAATGGTGCAGCCAAATCCAGCCCACCAAAGGCAGCCCCGGAATGGTGCAGCCAAATCCAGCCCACCAAAGGCAGCCCCGGAATGGTGCAGCCAAATCCAGCCCACCAAAAGCAGCCCCGGCATGGTGCAGCCAAATCCAGCCCACCAAAGGCAGCCCCGGAATGGTGCAGCCAAATCCAGCCCACCAAAAGCAGCCCCGGCATGGTGCAGCCAAATCCAGCCCAGCAAAAGCAGCCCCGGCATGGTGCAGCCAAATCCAGCCCACCAAAGGCAGCCCCGGCATGGTGCAGCCAAATCCAGCCCACCAAAAGCAGCCCCAGATGGTGCAGCCAAGTCAGGAGCTGGGTACCAAAGGCAAAACATCCAGCACAGCTCCCCAGGAGGCTCCTGAGCCTCATGCTGGTTTAGGAAGCATCTCCCCTGTGTCTCTGGGAGAGTTAGGCTACACCTCTGCCCCTCACACAGAAACCTCACACCCTGCTCTACCGGCTGGGAGCAGCTTTATCCCCTCTGGGTGCCTCCTGCCAATTAAAGCAGACACCCTTCTTTTCTCTCTTTGCTGTGAGAGGCAAATTATCAGGGGTTTATTAAGAGAGGCTGTGGGAGCTTTATGGCTCCTTCTTCAGAGCATGAGAAAAAGCCTTATCCTGTGGATCTTTCAGGAAAAAAAGTAAGGAAACATAAGTGAATGTGACAGGCTAGGGGCACTGAGTGAAATGCTCATTCGAGTGGCCCAGGTGATCACAATCACTGCCTAATGACCTTCATGAGACACAGATTTAGGTCCTTACATGATCAAAGTACAAATGGTGGCCACAGAAAAAATCAGCTGAGAGACAATCTAGGTTGTACTGCACCTGCCACTGGGTGGGGAGAGGGGGTTGAATGAACAAGGGCTCTGTGTGATACCAGGAAACCTCTTCAGGCCAGAGATATTCTTTACTGCTAGCCAAAGCAGTGATATTCCATGCACAATTGGCCACTACAGCTAACCTATGAATCATGGTGTTTGCCCAGGGCTCCTCAAGGCAAAGAGAAGGTAAAGTCTAGTCTAGGTAATTGGATCCAAAGTTGGAAGATTTAAAAGTCTTCCAGAGAGTCCCAATCAATCCTCCTAGGTGGGAGGACAACAGAAAGAAGCAATTTCCAAGGATAACAAATGCATGTGCTGCTGTTGGATGCTCAGGAGCTGCTACTGAGTGAGGTCTGGCTGCTGATTTAAGAATGTGTCTGCACTTCTCTTTCAACTCCTCTGAGCAAAAAGAAAGGAAGTCAAGAGAAAAGTGACCTTGACAGTAACAAATGATAGTCTGTGTGTGAAAGAAACTGCTGCTTTGGGGCTGCAGAGGTGCTCCTTTGGAGCTGCAATTTAGTGCCCCAAAAAGTGTGGTGGGTTTCATCTCTGCTCTTCCTGAAGGGGGGTGTGTAAGACATAAATAAAGGGCCAAGTAGCAAGACTGTGTCTCCAGGGTGGCCCCAAGCGAGGGAAGGCTCTCACCCTCTGGATGACCCTGAGACAGGACTGGAGCCTTCCCCTTTGCCAGAACCCACATGAAGAGCTGGCCAGTGCTTGTACATGGGCATGAGCAAAGCAGGTGTTCCAATGCTAGCAGTGAAACATGGCAGTTCCAGCAAGGCCAAAACAGAGCTTCTCCCTTCAGCCTTTTCTCCTTCCCAGGCAACACTCTGAGTTCATTCCTTCAGCTCAGTTTAATGGGAGACATGCTGTTGAGAGAGCAGCAAACTCCAAGCCCTCAAAATAACCAGTTCTGGGTGCAATTCCACCTTCATTCACAGTGGCACAAACAGGAGCAATGCCTTTGTGCTTGATGGAATGACACTGATGTGGAGATGGACCCAGGGAACTACATGCTCTGCAGTATTTCTGAGAAGGTCTTTTCTTGTAGGAAGACAATCCCTGCTGCTCCATCCAGCTATGAACCCAGAGCCTGCATTCCCAAAGAACATTTCTTTAAACTCCAAGTAATGCACCCTTGGTAAGCTCTGAAGGGGCCTTTTCTCTCTTCAAACAGCAATCCACCCAGATGGAAAAGATATAGAAAGTGTATGTGCTGCAGGATAAATGAGCTGCATGCCACACACTAAATACTTGAAATGAACGTGTCACAGTTAATGCCTTTCCAAATATTACAGGACCAGTCCTTCCTCACAATGTCTAAGATGTATGGCATGACACAGTGTGCTCTGACTGCCATGAACGCTTGCCAATGTTGTAATGTTTTAAGCACAGTCTACATTGAGTAATATACTTTAAATATATGGGCACAGTAAATTTCAGTCAAATAGATAACATCTGGGCAGAGACCATGTGAGCCTGTAAAAGTGTCCAGAAACAGACAGGAGAGCTGGTGCCAAACCTCAGCCTGAATGGTGGAGTTGGAGTGGATTTGATGCGTCAGCTAACCAGATTTTATGAGGAAACCCCAACCTAGCCCATCAAATAGGGAGATGTAACAAATCACCAGCAAGCTTCATAGCCAGAGAAATAGAGAAATGCCTTTGGTAAGAATGGAATTCCACTGAATGGATGAAGGCAGCCTGAGCTGGGAGTGCCTGTCTGTGGCTAATCAGAGCACAGATGTGTACTCCATCAAACACCCCACAGAGCTGCCTTGCACCCAGCTCCCCTTACAACCCATCAGCCCAAGCAGCAGTATCTCCCAGGTGATCTACTGTGAGTTAGGAAAATGTATTTGTCATGCCTACCTTTATGCCAGCATCCCCTTTTTCACCCTGCCCAGCAATGGAGAGAGAAAAGGGGGAAACAGAGAGGGACGGTGAGCATAAAGGGAAACCAAGCAAGCAGGAACAGCAAGAGATAAAGTAGCCAAAAGAGGGGTGTGATAAATGCAACCCCAGCACCCCAGGTCTCCTCACAGCAACATGGTACCAGTCAAGCACTGGCTGCAGCCCTCCCTCCCCTCCCAGGAAGTGCAAAGGCAGTTTAGGTCCTTGGAGTGGACGCTGGAGGTTGCCCATAGTAATGATTTTCTACATGATAAGGGTGCAGAAACCACTGAAACATTTCATGGTCCAGAGTACCCTCATTTTCACAGCCCTGATGCAAAATCCTTTAAAGGCTGGGTCAGTTTTATTCCTTAATGGGGGACGGTGTAATTCCTGGTTCAGGACAGCATGGAATCACCTTGGCCAACAATTGCCCAGACTCTTCACACAGGAGCAAGTGTTCCTGTCTACGTGGTTCATTCCAGGCTCTAGGGAACTGTCTCCAGCCCCTGGCCTTTGATATCCCTTTAGGACAGGCTTGTGCCACTTATCTGCCCCCTCTGACTGCAGTTCAAGGGTTACCTTGGGGCCAGAGGCTCCAGGGAGGCCACGGGCACCAGGCAGGCCCGACTCACCCACCTCACCCTGAGGAAGAGAACAAAGAGAACAGTGGAAGAAGCAAACACAGCAGCAAGAAAAGGAGCTGTGGGTTGCCAGAAAGGACAGCAGAGCTGTGAGAGGTATGTCCCACACTGAGGTGTCCCACACACACCAACCTACCCCTGTGTCTCTGTGAGAAGAGCAGATATTCAGTGTATGAAATGCATGCAGTGAAGGGAGCACCATATCTGAATTAACAACTTTCCTCAATATTTCACCTTCTTTTCCCTGCTGGTTAGGATTTGGTGACCTACATTGATCCATTCCTTCCAGCTTCCCCAAGGAAAGCCATGGGCTCACCCTTGCAGCCCAGGGCAGGCTCCTGGCTCGGCAGGGATTGAAGCACACAAGTTGGTTCATGTAAGAGGAGCTGCTGGGAGGGGCCCTCGCTGGGAGGTCGCTGCCCAGAGCCGCCCTCCCTGAGCACACAGGACAGGATGGGCCCCTGATGGAAAACCTGTGGGTTCACTGGGAAAAGGGGCAATAAATTGTGTCTGTCTGCAGGATTGGGCTGTGGTCTGCAGGGGCTGTAATTTCCACTTCCTGACATTAGAAAAACTTCTCAGTTTATACAGAGCTAATTAAAAAGCTCTCAGGTCTTGCCATTTTGCTTGCAGAGCACTCATAAAGCAACGTGGAGATAACAGGGGACACAGGGCTCCTTCCTGCTGGGAACATTCACCTTCCCCTTCTCCAGCTGACATCTCTTTAGCAGTATCTCTCCATTCCCTCTCTCCTGTTTGATCTCCCTTTGTGTCTTTCCCTTCCTGTCTCTTCATTACAGCCTCAGGGCTTGTCAGCCCTGCTGTTAATCAGCTGCTGCTGAAGGCATTTGGGCATTGCCAGCTTCTGCCTTTTAACCCAGAGCAGGATTGACTCTTTTCTGTATCCCAGAGAGCAACAGCCAGGGATTTATCCCTTTTCAGCCTCCCATATGGGTTTGAATGCATAAGAAATACATTTCAGCCTGGAAGTGGGTGTAGAGAGGCACGCACACAGAGGGAGGTATTTGCTCCATAGCTGCTGGGGAGTTAAAGACAACTCTGGGCCCAGGCTCTCTTTACACAGGTAGCAGTAGGGAATCTGTGGGCCTGCTGCAAACCCAGCAGGAGCAGGGCTCCACAGGAGGCTCCAGCATAATCCACAGATTTTCAGCCATGATTCCAGAAAGCATCAATGCACTTAATTCATTAAACAACATGGGAGCTTCCCTCCTTACCTTTCTGCCAGGGTATCCCTGAATCCCAGCATCTCCCTGGAAAAGGCAAAAAGACAAAAGAAAGTGAGGCTTGGCCTGAGAGGGACAAACCTCTGCTCTTTTCCCTCTGGTATTGTTTAGATGGGAGAGCATTCCATGGGGAAAATCTGCCTTTTACTCACAGTGATTCCACTGAGCTCCTGTCCCTTCAGACCCACAGGTCAGCATTACTGAACTGGGCTGAGCCCTGGCAGGAAAGCCCTGGCAGACAGCTAACATGTGTCAGCTCTGTGCCCCAACTCCATGGTTCCTCTCTCCTCACCCTGGCTACATATCTCAGATAAAAACAAATTATGTTGGGTGGCTGCAGCTGAAAAACAACAACAACCACCCCCTCCCTCACACTTTGGCAAGTGAATAAATGGGAAACCGTGGCAGAGTTAACAATAGCATTGCAAAATCCATTCCTGAAGCACTGGGAAATGCTTTGAGAATGGAAGAAGCCAATAAAGCTGTGTGTGGCAAACAATTTTGCAAGCTGGGCTGATGAGGCGTGCCTGGCTCAGTGGAGAGGCAGCTCAGACGCGTCGCCTGGACAAAACCCATGAGTCAGCACAGGGGCTGGGCCCCAGAGGCAGTGCTGAGCTGGGTCAGAAATCCTTCTCAGCTCTTTGATGTAACCTCTTTTACCCCTCCTCCATCCATCAAAATGGATCTGTCCTCGTCAGGAGAGCCCATCTCTGTTCATCATCTTTCTACACCTCTAAGTGAGGTGAGATGTCTCACCTTTGGTCCAGGAGGCCCAGGTAAGCCCTGTGGATAAAATCAAAACAGACACTGGGGTTGGAAAGTGTGACATTACATGGACAGCAGGGTGATGGGGGGATGCTGGCTGGTTTGATTCAAAACACCCCTTAGAGATTTGCACTGGTGAGCTCAAACATCCCCAATCTATTCTTCATGTTGATATCTGCTTGCGTACACGCAAATAAACTTCTGCCCACAGTGCTCCATCCCCCCAGGTTTGTTCTTGCTGAATTTGAAGACTAAAAAGCTGTTTTCCCTTATGCATTATGCTCCAGAATCTTTTTTGCTTCTCTGGCTTGCTTGGGGAACTTGTTCCCAGCCCACTGCAGCTCTGGAGTAAATCAAGCATTTGCAGCTTCCTCTGGCAAGCTAAACAGAGAGCATGTATTAACAAACAAACCACTTGTGTCTCTAAATGAGAAATAACCAAACAATTTACCTGATATGAACCATGAAGCATACCAGACATACGTGTGTGTAAATATAAATAAACAAAATATCTATGCAGGAGCTGCCTGAGAGCAGGCAGGGAAGGAAAACTGCTCTAGATATGCTCTGATGCCCATGCCACCTGCTTTGGCAATTCAGGTGTTTAGCCATCCTGTCCTTGCCTCCTCAGAGAGAGATGAAGATGTCTCAGAGAGAAATGAGGGTGCTGACCCCTGTAATGTGTGGGGAGAGGTGCATTTGCCTCCAGGGATGAGACTTGCTTTTCCTGCTAGCAGGCCTTGAAAATTCTTGGAGATGGAAGCTCCTTTAATTCCCAGTGGCTGCAGAACCAGCATGGCACGCTGGCTCCTGCAGCTCCCAGGAACAGAGCTGGATTCTGGTACCCACCTTTCCATCTCTGCCAGGCTTTCCAGGTTCTCCTGCTCTGCCCTGTTGCAAGAGAGAGGTACATTAGCAGCACTTTCTGTCCTCTGCCCTGCCATTCAGCAATGGTTCTATTTGATATGTGGTGCTTCTGCTCCCACCCTCCTCGGCTGCTTGCTAGGACAGGGACTTCAAAGGGGTGGCAGGGAGCACAGAAATTACACCCCACGTGTTACTTCCTCCCCGGGGCCATCTGCAGGGACTGAGGAGGAGGAAATGAGCCTGGTGTCACCCCCTGTGTGTCCAGATAGCACCAGTGCCCAGTTCACATCTCTGCCTTCCCTCTCACTCCCCTCCTTCCCCAGAACTTCTTCCTGTCCACACATCCACATTCTCTGCAAGCCTCCTGTCCGTGGTTACCTCAGCTTCACTAGAAGCAACAGAGGCCAGAGGAAGCAGCCTGTGCCCTAGGGGATGGGGAAGCAGAAGGATTTCAGTTTTGGTAAGGACTTACAGGGGGTCCAACTGGCCCAGGACGTCCTGGGATTCCCTCAGGTCCAGCTGGTCCAGGGGGCCCTGGTGGACCAGGGGGCCCCGGGGGACCTTGGATCCCCGCCTGTCCTTGTTCACCCTGCAGTTTGTAAAACAAGAGTTACAGCAGGCACAGCAAACCCTTCACACACCCCCCAAAGGGCCCAAGGCAGGCCAGCCTGACTGAAGCAGAGGAGATAGAAGCAAGTCCCAGGTTACTGCCAAGAGAGGTTTCCAAGAGTGATGGAGAGCCTGCTGAGGACACTGGGCTGCCTGGGAAGCAGGAGCCAGCACCCAATGGTTTGCAAAGACATCTGAGGTCACCTGGTCAGAGCTCCCTTCTAGAGGGATCTAGTGATGACAGAGCAGTCCAAGGAGACCTTTTTCTTCATTAAGCCAGCCAAGTAAAATTTATGTGTCAAAGACCAACATCTCGTGAGTCTCTGAAGAGGCTTTCCAAAGCACTTGACAGTCACATGTGAAGCAAAGCCTCCCGTGACGACACTGGCACTTCCAGGCTAGAGCCACCTCAGCCAGTTTTTCCCCATACTATATTTGTTGGACAACACTCCCTCTGTTTTGCCAAGGACCAAAAGTAGAAATGCCACAAATCCCAAAGAAAATAACACGATCAGCATGGCATTCCTGGAGCCCACCCAAGGCAGGCCCATGGACACCAGGCAGAGCCTGTTTTTCTGAGATTTAACAAGGCAGTGCCTGCTGAGCCACCTGCCATTTTCAGCTCTGTGAGATGGAGCTGTTTGAGCCAGTTCCTCCCCAGGCCCTCAGTGGCCACTCGTGGCTCATGCCTCAGCAATGTCATCTGGGGCTGCGCGTGGCACCGAGCGGCACGGAGGAGACAGTGGGTTGGAAGCAGCATGTTTGAATACCAGACTGCTGATCTAGAATTGATGAATCCAGCTCCTAGGGCACTGTAGCACCCGTGCTAAGCTCTTCACCCATTAGGCTCACCTCGCTAGATAAAGTACCATGAGAGCCTACTGCTAGTGGTCCAATTCAAATCTGAAAAACTTCCCTTGGTGGATCCATGGGAAGCTAGAAACCAAACATGGCTGTTTCTCAGTTAAAAGTCAGTGGGTGTGCAGTTGGGTCTCTGCTGCATTTATCCTCTCTCCAGCCTTACACACTGGAGGAAAATGCACAAAATCTGTCCCCTGCATTCCTACCAAGTGCGCTGTTTATCCTGGCTGCCTTTAGTAAAACATGCAGATACAGGGATGTTTGCTTTATTTAGAATGATAAATGAAAGTAATAAGCTGCAAATTTCATCCTTTCTGCCATGAGCTCTATTTAAAAGAAAATTTCCAACGCGTGGGCCAGGCTCACGAGAAGCTGGGTGATGTGTGGAGCAACAGCCCTTTCCTTTCCTGTGCCTCACTGCCCAACCCTCAGCCCACGCTGGGAAGCCTGCAGGGCCAGGCAGGAGGGGTGCCCTTGCTTCTCCCCACTTTTAAAGTAGATCTTCATTCATCCTGTGGCCCTTGCAAGGGAATGCAGGTTCTTTTCTAAGCTTCCTTATCCTCCATACTCAGTGCTATTCAACTGTAAATGGTCTCATAGCTTTTAAATATGGAAGGTAATTTGGATCTAATGAAGATGTTGGGAGGACACTGGAATGTATTTCTAGATTTCCTCTTGCCTTGCCCTCTCATTCCACCTTCAAAGACTTCCCTCCCACTGCATCTTATAACACCCTCAGCATGGGTGCACCATGGGAAGATAAAGGGGGCTTTGCCCATCTCACTTTGGCTCTCTCTCCTCTATTCCCACCTCAGCTGCTCTCTGCCAGCCCAGTCCATGCTCCAAATGTAGGGCACTAAAATGCAGCATGGTGCTGGAACAGGGTGCTGGTAGGAGAGATGGCAGAGCAGGAGCCCTGCCCCAGCACAGGGAGTGGCTGCAAGGAGCTCACTCACCCAAAGTCCTGCTTGCATCACCCTCACTCTGCTGTCTTGGGCACAGCAGGCTTTGTTTAGGCAAGTGCCCATCCTTGCAGATCCCTAAACACACAAAGTGTTAGCACCACATCATTATAGCCTCATTAATGTGTTCAGCACAAAAGGACCCCCACAGAGCTAGATGGACAGTAAGTGGATACAGTAAGGGGGAGATCAGGTGTCATTTTCCTCAGTTGTCATTCTATATTTTTAGCTGTCGACTGGAACTATTTTTCAGTTCTTTTAAACACCAGTCAGCCACCCTGCCTGCACCCCAGCAATGCAATGCTTGCTCAGCCTCCTCAGACAGGACCCCACTCAGGGCAATGTCAGCTAAGCCCCAGCCCTTGGGCAAAGCACTCCTGACGATGTGCTCAGAGCTAGCAGCAGGATTTTCCTCTCTTCCAGCTGCTGGTGCTAACATCCATTCTGCAGCCTCACTTTTTTCCTTAGTACTCACAGGCTGGGCTCCTGGAATTGCCTGGTGCTGGCAGATCTGTAGGTGCAGACCCCACCCTGTTGCTTTTAGAGAATGAATACAGCAAAGGCAAAACAGATCATGGCAAAACTCCGGTGAAATTTTCCTCTGCGGACAGAGGGAATTTGCAGCCCTGGCTGACGACAGGATGTAGGGCAGTTATTCAAGTTTCCCACTTCATCCTGGAGAGGAACTTCAGCTTTCAAAGCCTTCCCAAGAGGTCAGTCCTTGGCCTGGCTCTCCAGACTGTCACTTTGAAGGGCAAACAGTGCAATCCGTGGGGCTCTGTGTGGTGTGAGGGCTGAATCGATAGAAACTGAACTGAAACCACGGGTTCACGTGCTCAGGATTTATCCAGAGCTGGGCAAGGACCAGGCACTTCATGGTAAAGGTCTCGTGCATCCTGCAGTTCCCTGCTGGCATCCAACTGTCTAGACAGGCAGCAGGGTGACAAAACCCAGGCACTTAATAAAGAGTGCCCGGCACACTTCAGAGGGGTAATTGCAGCAGTTTGTCCACACAGGAAAGCTAATCCCAACTGATGGAATGAGGGAGCTGAAAGTGGGCTCATTAAAAGCCACATGAACTCTGACTATGGACACTCTTATTCACTATTCATATGTCCGTAATTCACTTTATTAATTCATTCCCAAAATAAACTAAACATGAATTATGGCCCTGGAAACCAAAATAAATGTGTTTACACAAAGATTTAATGCAATTTAATGAAACCATTCTAAGAGCTTATTTAAACACATTTCCCCAAGTGCCTCAGACTAGACTAGCCCTTAGAAGAAGCGTTTGCCTATTCATTCATCTCAGTTAAATTTCACAGACATTAGATGAATTTCAGCAAGAGGCTTCCAACCTCTTCTGGAGATTGAATATGCAGGAACTGACTCCTTAAGGGAGGAGGCTGCTTGTCGACAGCCCCAAGAACAGCTTCATGGCCCATTTCTTTTAGTCCAAAAATCTGGCTTCACTGCACTTCTTTTTAGCAACATTATCACATCAAAGGTTTCCTCTGCTTTCAAGAAAGTCCCTCAGCTCTGCCTGAAACTCTTGGAAAGCCCTCTGTAGGGGAAGAAAGACAGGTAGCAAGCTGATTAATTGCAAGCATTGGGATAAGCTCAGAAACAGGCAACAAGGAGGAGAAGTCTACCTGGAAAGTGCGTCTCTTTATGACCGGAGGTGGAGCCAGCCGCACTGAATTGAGGAGAGGCAGCAGCTGAAGAAGATCAAACCAGAAGGTCACAGGGCAAAGGAGGCCATGAGGGCATGGAGAGTCAGAGAGCAGCCAGGGAAAAGACCAGAGAAGAGGGGAACAGAGAGATTGCCATGAAAATGAAGCCTGGCAGGAGAGCAGCGTGGGGCAGGTACCTGCTGGCAGACCTCTGAGCTCCTGGTGCTGCTCACAGGGGCACCCACCAGGGGCCAGCCTGCCAGGCGTGGGGTGCCCACTCTCCATCCCAAAGCCCTCACTGCACAGAGCTTTCACAGCTCCCTCTGACTGGAAACAGAACTGAGCCAGGGGATCTCTGACTCAGCTCTGCTGATCTCCTTAGGAAGTGCTCACTGCAAGGCATCCCTCGCTGGCTCTGCTGGGTGTCCAGCCATGGGACTGTTTCTCTTAACTTCTTATCATCATCAGATTTGGGGCATCTATCAGAATTACAATTTCCTCCAAATTTTCCAAGTGCAGTTTTCTAGCTCTCTTACAGGAAACCCAGTGTATCTCCAGGCATCTATCAGAATTACAATTTCCTCCAAGTTTTCCAAGCGCAGTTTTCTATCTCTCTCACAGGAAACCCAGTGTATCTCCAGGTCTCACCCTTCCTCCAGGTGTGGAAGGGAGCAGAGAAAGTCTGGTTGGGGTCAGCACAGAAGTCCTGGCTTGGTTCACTTAACTTGGCACACACAACTACCATGGCCAAGGGACAAGACCAGGCCTTGGAGCTGGACACCTAAGTAGGGCATTGCCCTGGCAGCCTGTGCTTTGTTTTTCCTTGCTCAACAGTATCATCACCTTCTGACTGCTTATAGCCAGGAATGCTGCCTTAGGGCACAAAGCTGACCCGGACACACAGAAATCAAATGCACTAAAGCTCAGGAGCATTTGTTCATCCTTTTGCCGTATCCAGTTTCCACTTGCATGCATGCTGCTGTCACCCTGGCACCCACCACGTCGGCTCCAGGCCCAGGAATGCTGCTCTGGCCTGATCCACTTTCCTGTTCCTATCAGTTTTCCATTGAAGCTGCTCTTGATTTACATAGGGAGAAGTGAGAGAGCCTTTCTGTGCTTGGGCACAAAAACGTGCCCATGTGTGACATTGCCCCACGTGAGCTGCGCACTCAGATCCCAGAGGTGTGCCCACAGGTGTCCCACCACAGAAACCATATGCTTCCAAGGAGCACATTTTATTCCCTTTAGACATTGTACTTCATGTGTGCAGTGAAAGCAAGGATCCAGTCCTGATGCAAAGAGAAGCAGTAACCCAATTTTGCAGCATCATGATTAGGCAGTTGTGTTCAAATGCACTGATCCAGACAGCCACAAGCTCTCACTCCAAAAGCAGTGCTGCTGGAAATTCTGCTGGGTTGATTTTACCCAAAGGCAAACCTCCTTTTTCTAAAAGACCGTGCAGGAGGCCCCTTAGCTCAGGAGAGCCAGCTAGGCTGGCTTTGCCTGGCTGCTTAAGTGCTAAAGGGTATCTGAAATATCATACAGCTTACAGGGAAGCTGAGGGGGGATGCTGGAAAGGATAAGGAGGAAAATGGAGAGAACCAGTCCTGAAAACAGGCAAGACAAGACTCTGCAATGGAGTCAGATGAGAAGAAATCTGAAAGCACTTCCACCCAGCTCCTGCCCTGTCCCCTCTGGGTTCCAATGGGAAGTTTTTTCAGAAGGCAGTGTGCAATATTGGATCTGCAGCCTCAAGGCTTTGCGTCAGAACTGGATCCCCTGAGAGCGCTACCCACAAACCTTCAGCGTAAGGATCTGGTTAGAGCGCAGGGCTGCAAGTGTGGTACTTAGGTACTCCTGGGAACAGGGAACACACACCACACAAACAGGGTCAGATACACAAACAGCATTTCTGAGAGCCAACGCAGCATGGATGGTCCCCCCATTTCCCTGAGTGGCACTTGGCAGCAGCCTGAGGGGCCCTCTCACCCTGAATGGGCAGCACCCACGCTTGGGCTCACCCCTCACAGCAGTGCAGGCCACACAGACTCATACAGACAAAAAAATAGGAATCTACAAGAGCCAAGGCACATATCCTAACCTTGTATTTCCTTCCTAAGAAAACAAATATGAAGCAAAACTGAAACAACATCCCCGGTTTGTCAGGATGCTGGATTTCATTTCCTCACCCAGAACATCTGACAAAGACTCTTATCAAACAGAAAAGCAAGAATAAGTTGCAATTCTGTCAGCAGTGTCACATTTTTGCACCAAGGCCCATCCTAATTTTCATTCAGGGAGGAAGAAAGAGAACTGCACCTTCTGCTGGCTGGTCTGTGCCTCTGGCTCCCTGAACTTGCAGTCCAGGACAGCCTGTCCTTGGGTTGATCTGAGGACACTCACCCTTCCCGTGAGCGTGTCTCAGCCATGAACAACTCATGGGCTTTTTATAATGTTGAGCTTGGTGCCTCATGAGACCAAAAGTATCTCCATGAGAGGCAAGGAAATGCTGCCAGGATGTGAGGCTTTGCACCTACCCTTTTCCTGCAGCTCACCAGCCACCCTACAACCCCGACCCACCAAACCAGTGTGCCTGAGCCCAGGCTATTCCCAGGGATGCACCAGCTCCCTTCCCAGTGCTGCTTTGGGTCCTGCCACTGCTTTTCACCTTGAGCACTGGGGACAGTCAGAGCCAAGGGCTGTAACAGGAACTCAGGACACTGCTCGGGTGACCAGTGTTGTTGGCTTCTTTTTAACATAACAATCGAGTGAGCCGGCTCACTAAATAAACACAGCTGAGCGGCTGTTACTGCACGGGGACTGGCGCTTCCCCACAGCCCCCTTCTCCCTTGCTGCCAGCCCAGCTCTCTCTCCAGTGGCTCTGCTGCTCCAACCCTGCTCCCTCCGGGCCAGGGACCAGAGCCTAGCTGATTATCCAGAGGCCCATCAAAAATAAACAGAAAGCTCTTAAGCTTGTCTCCCTGTACACCCAGATTACAAATTCCAGCCACTTCATATGATGTCGTTCCAATGCATTTCCAGTGGATTTTCAGCACTCTGGTTGTTTTTAGAACTGGTTAAATCCCCTCAAACCCCATGATGTTCTCTCTCCACTCTTGGCTGCAGCACATGCTGGCCAGGCCAAGATGAAGGAGCAGGTGGGGCAACATCCTGGCTTTCATTTAACAGTTGCTGGCATCAACCCTCCCACTCAGCCTCTTCCCTGCAGGCAGATATTCCACCAGGCTTGGGGACCAGCATGGGGACAGCTCACTGGGGACCTGACAGAGCACCATGGCCAGGCAGTGCAGGGTCACCCTCAGGCAGGGAGCATTCCCTTGTCTCTGTGCAGGGATGACACCAGCACAAGGGAGAAGAAAGAGGGAGGAATGATGATAGAGTTTTCCCCAGGTCTTCAAGGAAGACAGCACAGAGCCAGTGCAGCAGCTCATGAGTGGGTGACCTCTACTCCTCCAGAAGCCCCAGGTTTCACAGGGTTTTGGGCTGAGGACCTTCCCCTCTCCAGCACAAAGCACAGGAGGGTCTCCAGGAAGCAGAACTGACAGCAGCTATCTAGGGGTCAGCTCTGGTGGGCAGGAACAGACAGACCGGAGAACCAACATCCCTCCTGGAAAACCTTATCTGCTGCTTTTCTGCGAAACACATCAATCAGCCGAGCACTGCCCCGGGGGCCCAGATGACGCATCTTGTTAATGGAACGATCCCTACCTCCAACAAAAAGCCATTCAAACGAAGGAGGATTAACATGCAGGAAGGCACGGGACAGAGGATAATAACGCTAATGACTTACCCTGTGCGGGTACTCTGCACACTGACCCTGTGAAAGAAGGGGATTAAAAAGGAAAGAGTTTAAACCACAAACAGAGGAGACCAAAATAGGCACGCAGGGTCAGAGCCAGAAGGTGTAAATCATCGTGACTCTATCAGACTCAGTGCAGCTATGCCAATTTGCACCCGATAAGCACCCTGCCTCCTGTCCCCATCCCCTGAGCCCTCTCTCTGCTCTTGGTACTCCTCACTCACAGTCAGATCAAGCAGCACCAAGTCCACCAAGTCCCTTCCTCACTTTTAACAAGGCCCCCACTGAAATTACCTTCTCTCCTTTTTGTCCTGGGGGTCCCTGTAAGAGAAAAGTGATCAAAAAAGGCCTCAGTAAATGAAGGAGTTCGGTGAATGCAAGGGGAAAGGGATTCAGGGGAGAGATACTTACAGGTTGTCCCCTGGGACCTGCAGCACCCTTTAAAGAAACACAGAATTTAACAGGGGATGATTTTCCATTTACAGTGATAAAAAGCGCATGGAATAGGTGAAAAAACTGAGCTTTTAAAAACAATTGTGAAGAAAATTCCCAAGAGAGATCCGGGTTCCCTTTGTTACTCTGGAGGAGTGAAAAATGCACACATGCTCTGGCTGCACCACGGGGGGGGAAAATTAAAAGGAGAGGGGGAAAAATCATGGGGAAAACACACCCTTATTGTTCCCAGGACCTCAGCTGACAGCATCTCCTCAGCCATGCTCTGGGATGGAACCAGAGGCAGCCAGGACTGAAGCCTGAGCTGGGATTGTGCAACAGGGGAGTGGGGAGGGGGATCTTCAACATGTGCTTGCCAGAGGGCTATGCTGACACTCAGGCTACAGAACTACAGAATTAGCAGAAGAAAACATTCAACACTTCAGTGAGCGAAGGTGACTACAGGGCCTCTCTCTTGACATGCTCATATTTGGGATTTCATTATCAGAGATGTCAAGAGCAACAAGACAGCATTTGGGCTTCCATAAAGTGCAGTCTAAGTTTATCATTTTCAACCAAAAGCATTTTAGTATGATGCACATATGAAACAGAGCTTCAAGAGGGTGGTGGGGGGGGGGGGGAACCACATTTAATACAAAAAATATGCTTTTTTTGGTTGTTGTTAGATAAGTTGAAAGCTGCCAGATGGGTTTTCAGAAATCTTTCCATCAACTTTTACTTGTCCTATGAGGCCAACCACAAAAAATGTCAGCTCCCAGAATATATTTAAAGAACATAATTGCTAAGTGCAAGGAAAACACATCCCATGCCTAACTAGAGAGTTGCTGTTGTGACATGATGAATGTGCTAGCCATAATGCAAAAATTACAGACATGCATCCTAGCCCTGCTATTATGAAGTTACAGAATTAGGGATGCAGCTAGTGCATCAGCTGAGCTAAGATTGCTACCCTGCCCCTGAGCTTGTTTCCAGCTGAGGCCCAACATCATTGCAAACCAACCCATTACCCACAGACAAATGTATTTTTACCATCTCTCCCTTCTGTCCAGGATGCCCCTGCAAAATAAAGGAAACACACATCAGCTTTGGCCACGGCAGACTCCAGATGATGTTGATTTAACAGCTTCTGCTGAGTGAAGTGTGTGTCCCCAGAGCAGCACAAGAAAGGTGCTGCCACATCTCTCTTGGGGGTGAAGTTCCCCGTGGCAAAACCAGGAAATCAGAAGCCAGAGGTAGGTGCTACCAGCTCCTTCTCCACTGCAGCACTGGAGGAGTGTGGTGGGGAACCTGGCTACATGGCTGCCACATGGAGCTATGGGTTCATGGAGAAACAGCTCATTTGTGCCCAGCTCTGAAGGATAGGAAGAACTTGGGTTTCTACTGCAAATCTCTAAGGACAGCATGGAGTCTTTAGGATCCTTCCCTCCTCTACTGCAGCTCTTTTTGGCACAGCAGCAAAGGGAAAGAAGCTAAGGCAGAGGGCTGATACCTTGGGGATGTGCTCTGCCTGTCTGATTCTGGGTGGGAATGCCTGCTAAGGCTTCCCCTGCAGCAGCCAGGCTGCTACACCTGTGAACTGCTAGCTGATAGATTTACCTAGAAAGGAGCAGGCCATACTCTGCCTTCCTTCATCTCCTGACTCCTGCATCTCCCCCAAGGCATCTGTGGCATCCTCCTGCCTGCCAACCTCCTCATTTTCTTTTAATCCATGCATGTGCATGCCATTGCAAAACAATCCCCTTCAAACACAGGGTGTAACACCCAGGCTTCAGCCCAGTGGGATCAGCAGGAGAGGTGTGACACCCAGGCTGCAGTGGGAGCAGCAGGAGAGGTGTAACACCCAGGCTGCAGCCCAGTGGGACCAGCAGGAGAGGTGTAATAGGCTGTAGCCCAGTGGGATCAGCAGGAGAGGTGTGACACCCAGACTGCAGTGGGACCAGCAGGAGAGGTGTAACACCCAGGCTGTAGCCCACTGGGATCAGCAGGAGAGGTGTAACACCCAGGCTGTAGCCCAGTGGAACCAGCAGGAGAGGTGTGACACCCAGGCTGCAGCCCAGTGGGACCAGCAGGAGAGGTGTGACACCCAGGCTGCAGCCCAATGGGACCTGCAGGAGAGGTGTGACACCCAGGCTGCAGCCCAATGGGACCTGCAGGAGAGGTGTAACACCCAGGCTGCAGCCCAGTGGGACCAGCAGGAGAGCTGTAATAGGCTGCAGCCCGGCAGGACCAGCAGGAGAGGTGTGACACCCAGGCTGCAGTGGGACCAGCAGGAGAGGTGTGACAGCCAGGCTGCAGCCCAGTGGGACCAGCAGGAGAGGTTTAATAGGCTGCAGCCCAGTAGGACCAGCAGGAGAGCTGTAATAGGCTGCAGCCCAGTGGGACCAGCAGGAGAGGTGTGACACCCAGGCTGCAGTGGGACCAGCAGGAGAGGTGTGACAGCCAGGCTGCAGCCCAGTGGGACCAGCAGGAGAGGTGTGACACCCAGGCTGCAGTGGGACCAGCAGGAGAGGTGTGACAGCCAGGCTGCAGCCCGGCAGGACCAGCAGGAGGCAGGGCAGAAGCCTGCAGGAGTTCTTTGCTCACCGGTTTGCCGTCCAAGCCAATAGGGCCCTGAAATAAAAGAGGAGAAATGATGAGAAATGCTTTGCCCATGGATGGTCTCTGTCCATCTTGTCCATCTGCCCCAGGAAGCACTATGTGCCACAAGACTGCATGGGCTGGGGTGACGTGAGGGGACTCCCTGCCCTCCTGACCAGTCCTGGAAGGTCCCTGGCTCACTAAGAACCAGCCTAGATTTCAAACTACTTCAATGTGCCTCAGCTCACTGTCAGCACATTTCAGCAGCAATGCTGGACACAGGAACAGAAACAAGGAGGGATTCATATTCAATTTCCAAAAAAAAAATCTCAGAATTTAAAACTTTTCAGTGTTGGGTAAACTAGTTGAATATCAGTAGTTTTCACGAGACTTTGATTTAAAAGGGCACCCACCTTTGGGGGAAAAGGAATTTTTGCAAGTGATAGAATAATAAAAGTGTCTCAGGGAAGAGGTGACACACAGCTTAGCATATGCTGAAGGTACTGTTTGATGAGAAACAGGCTCCCCAGAGCTGTCCCAGCCAGCACTTTCTCATGAGCTGGGCCGATTTGTTTTCTGCTCCTCCAAAAGCCAAAGACCACAAGGGCCTGGAGAGATCTGCTTCTCCTCAGCCTAGGGGCAGCTCACAGCCCCCTGCCACAACAGGCAGAGAGAGCAGTGGAGACCAGGCAGACAGGGGGAGGCTGCCAATTCCTCCCAATTTCCAGGGGTGAGAGTCCCCCCTGCAGACCTGCTCTGGCACGTCCTGGAGCAGCAGCTGAGCTGCCTGGCCAGAGCAGGGATGTGGGGGGTGTTTGTGCCTGCCCCAGGCTTCCTAGCTGTCCAGGATAAATGCATATGAATAAATAGCAACTGTTGGAGCTCTTCAGCAGCCTCAGTGCTCCACAGAGTGCTGCCAGCAACTGTAGGATTGAAATGAAATTTGCTTTGTCCTCTCCTGGGCATTATCTCTGTTCTCTTGCAACTGTGCTGGAGAAGAATTCCCCCTCATGTCCTCTCCCTTTGGCATGACCTGGGTGCTCAGCCCAGCACAGTCCCCAGCTGACCCTCAACAGGCAGGGCCTTTTTTGGATCCTTTTTTGGATCCCAGGCACTTGCTGCTATTGGAATATCATCTAAAAGTTCAATTAAAGTTGGAATTTCCCCTACCTAGGGGTTGTTTTCTTTGTTTGGGATAGGGGTGTTTCTTAGGATGATTTTCTTTTACTCAACAGATCTGGCTTTAACTATGTTATTTTAACACTTGGGGATTTTTTAAAATTAATTTCCTTTCAGAGTTGTGTGGTTTGGTTTCGTAGTGGTTTTTTTTTCCCTAAGTATCGTTTAAAAGAAGAAAAAAAAAAGCAGAAAAACAAATGAAGAAAAAACTGCTTTTTCCAGTGATATCAGATCAGGTCATTGGTTTCAGGAAGAAATGATGAGATACAGCAAGCACTTATGAGGCTTGCTAGTAGTATCACACATCCGTACCTCATAAATTCAGAGTTACACTTACCGGGAATCCAGGAAAACCTCTTGTTCCAGGCTGTCCCTGGGAAGGATGAAACAGAGACAGCACTTTAGAGGAACTCAAATGAATTTTGATGGATCCTAAGTCCCCTCTACAGAGCCTTTCCTCCAGCCTCTGACCAATTATCCTACAACTCCCTGAAGAGATACCCAATTCCCCTCCAAGGGGAAAGTGCCTTGGGAAGGAGGGGAAATCTCTCATCCCCACTCCAATTTGTACAGGGCCAAGAAAAGGCTGGAGCAGCTCCAGTTTGGATTACAGGCAGTTTCCTTTAAGTTTCTACATTAATTAAATGGGTGTCCCTAGCCCATATGTTAGGCTTTTGGAGTATATTACAGAGGCTGAGCTCATTTTATGGCAGTTCTTGCTGCCATAAACCTGAGATGTTTAATGCAGGGTGATGTTCTATGCAAGACAAGCCTTGCAGGTCACTGGTGTCTAAATACAACCATCCCTCTCCTCCTCCACCCCTCATCTTATATCTCAGCTCATTCATTTTCCTCAGAAATAATTCTGGAGATGATTTTTTTCTCCTCTTCTGTTTATTTTATTTTTATCCTCTGAGAGCTAAGACAAAAAGGAGAGTTAGGCTGATGAGAGGAACATGAGCACCAAACTTTTCCCCCTGCCCCTTCCTGGCTAGCTAGCTATGGCTACCAGTTTGGGATCATGTACAGCAAACACTGGCTTGGGATGTGTTTGGCAGCTTCTTCAACCCCTACTTAAGAACACCAAAAAAAGAGAAAATGTGCTGGCTGTTAATTTTTCGTAGTTCTTCAATTTTGGGGACCTGTGACAAGGTCACAGTTACCATAGCTTTGTTGGTATCCAGGAAAGATACCACTTCATTTAAATTTTTTTCCATCTGTTTAAAAAAGAAAAAGGTCAGGAAGCATATGGTCCATCTGGCCCAGACTCCAGCAGATCTTGAAGCAGTCTCATGTAGACACAAACAGCCGGATGAGGTAAATCCTGTGCCACGCTCATCAGCTGACCACTGTGGCATCCTGCCTACCCTGAAAGCTGGGCTGGGATGCCAAAATGCCCAGCTTCCTTATGTGTTCTCTCATTTGGGGAAAAAAAAAATGCTTTCTTCAGCAATTTGAGCTACCATGACTGGACTGCTGGAGCCCCACAGGGGTTTCCTAGCATAGAGCTGGCCATAAACAGGGTGCATCTCTGCCTTAACTAGAATGATCCCATGGGGTGCTGAGGGAAGGGAGGGCAAGGAAGAAATGGGGCTCCTGGGCTGTGAGGTTGAGGTTTGCTACAGTGAAGCAATAACAATCCTTTGGGAAAACCTTCAGCTTCAGGCAACACCTCCAGGCACCCTCTGTCTGCAGAGAGACTCAGTGAGGGTTTAGCCCTGCAGAGGATGGGCCCAAAGAGCCTCTTTGCAGGGTTTGAGGGATGCCCCCACCGCAGAATCCCTCATACTGCACTGAAGAGTTCTGGTTTGCTAGGCAATGCCAGCAGGACCTAATCACATTTGCACTATTTCTTTAGTTCTGCAAAGTTGAACTTGGTCAGCTTTGCTTTGCAAGATACACACAAAACCACCTGGCCCTGTTGGCCAGTGACCAGGAGGGAAGATAGGCTATAAATTAAAGGATCTGTCCACTGCTGGCTTCTGAAAAGGCAAGAAGCAAGAAGAGCCTAGCCAGAATTCTGGTTCCCTGTTGGACACCTCCCTGACAAAAAGTGCTAAAAAAAGAATTAGGGAGAAAACCTGGAAATGGTGCAATTTGGCTTCCTCTGTAGACTACAGACTGCTGCTTCTTTCTCCTTGGAGGACAGCAGAATGATTTGCACGGTATCACGCCAAGACAACAGTTCAGCAGCGAGCGATTCCAAGAGACTGTTTTTGTTGGGTGGCTGGTTTTCCTTGTCTCCTTTTTAAAATGTTGATTGTATGAAGTATGTAATCCTGGGAGCTGCCAAATCATGGAGACCGTCTGTTTCTGCCACTATTGGTGCACTGTCCCTCTCTGGCCAGGAGTTAAGCAGCTCTGAGCTCCGGCAAAAACTTTAACCTCCAAACAAAAATCTGGAAACTATTTGTCATCCCACATCTTTCCGAGTGGCCCCTTGGCCAGGGTTTCCGTGTTTGTCTTCAGTGCTCAGCCATCCTTTTGACCTATCACCAGCTCCCCAGGAAACTGGATCATCTTCACAGTAGGCTTTGCAGGGGGAAAGCGTGGAGTTGGGCTGGTCCTGGCACCTCAGGGCTTTGACTGGTGTAGGCAAAACCCCATTTTTGATATCATTTGCCACCTAATTTTTCTGCTGCTTTAAAGATGCAACGTGTTCTGCACTTTCCCAAACAGCAGCAAAGCAGACAATATTGTCCTGCAGCCCAGGCACGTGTCCTTCAATAAAAGTGTCTCCTTTGCAGGACCTACATGGACAGGACCTGATGGCTTTTCTCTCTGATTACTATAATTACACTGTTCAGAAGGCTGAGAGCCAGAGCTTGTGAGAAACAGCAAAAACAACGGGGCATTTACCCTCCAAAATCTGCTGTTTGTGGAGCAGGGTGGTCTTGCTCAGAGCTTGGCTTGAGAGACTTGCCAGCCCCTCTTCTTTGCCTGGACATGTGGCCAGGGACCATCTGCTAGGCATAAAGCACTTGGGGAGACCCATTTGGGTGCTGGGCTTTGGTTCTGTCGCTTCTCAAACTGCAGCATCCCCGGCAGGTGGGCCTGGGGACCAGCAAAGCTGGTTTTTATTAGAAACACTTGTCATGAGGCTTTTGGGAAGTTAATTGGAAAGCCAGATGTAGCCAAGTGTTTGCATTGCCTGGGTCTGTCTCACTTGACCTCAGCTGTGAAACAAAGGCTGCCAGCAGCCCATCCTCTCTGCAGGTCAAGGACGGTGCTCTTCACAGGTTAATCAAAATCGGAAGTGCCCACTGGGAGGGAGAGAATTGAATCTCCAGGTCCTTTTTCATGGAAATCTCCAGTGGAGGCTGTGCAGGGATGGAGTGGAGAGGTCTGGCTGCACCCACACAAAAGCAGAGGCTTGATGGCTGAGCCACAGTGCAAGAAGCATCCAGCATTTAGGGCACGTAAACACTCCAACCCTTCATCCTGGTCTTTTTTTATGACCCTGCCCTTGCAAAAATTTTGTCTGGCTGACTTGTTGCACCTTGTAGAGACACTTTTACTGGAAGAGAGTGCAAAATCCTGCCTTTTCTCAGCCAGATAAGCAGCAACCATGCTGACAAAGTGCTTCCAAGATTTTTAGGAACTACTACCTCTGAACTACCCTTTGTCTTTGTGAGCTCCTCAGTCACTGGCTTAGCTCTGATCCTGCCCATCAGTAAAATCAGGGGGCTCGTTCCCTGCTGATTAAACCAAAGGCTGAAATCAGCCAGGAAAAGGGCAAATTTTCTCCAAAAGTGATAGAAGCCCTGCTAAAAGGAAATATATGCTTCTTCCTTTCAAATGCAGGACTTTGGTTTCCTTGCCAAGGGAAGGCTTCCTCATTTGTTCTGCAATATGAGCTATAATTTCATTATATATAGTATATAATAGCAGTATAAAACCAAGGCTGGCTCAGCATGGGAACCACATTATACAGGGTTTTTGCTCTTTCCAGCTGATGCTGAGTCTTAATGCCCCTCCTAAGGCTTTCCCAGTAACTTGCCCACATCCTGCATCAGACAAAAATAGAGAAAAGTGACTTACGGGTGGACCACGGGGCCCAATGATAGACATGCCAGCTTCTCCTGGAGCACCCTGCAGAGAGACAAAGCAGAGGAAAAGGGGTGAAAATAGGAGAGGAAAGACAAAGACAACTATATTCCTGTCAAGACTGGAGTTAAATGTGGGTGCTTTAGGTGTGAGATGTTCAGGGCTCATGGGGCAGCTGCTGTTCTGCCTCCCCCAGCTCCTGCCTGACACTTTGGGAAAAAAGATGTTCTTGAGAGCTGCTCAGATGTGCCAGAAAATGGAAGCTGCACAGCAAGGAGAAGTATAAACACATAAAACACTTTCTGGCAAAACAGATGTTCTGCCCCATTGCAAGTGTGAAAGATGGCCTGAAACCCTTTCTGTTTCCTTCCTGTAAGTTCCAGGAGGATTCTGTCCTGCAGAAGAAAGAAAAAAAGGGATGTGCTGGGCTCCAGGGAAAGGGGAGCTGCAGGCAGCTCATTTGGTTGCCTCCAGAAATGCCTTGCTTGTGTACTTCCCAAACTCAGTTGAGATGTGGACGAAACAAAGCAAAGTGCTTGCTGGAAAAGGAAACAGCTGCCTCTCCAACTGCCAGCCACCCACAGCGTGTGATGGGCAGGACATGTCACTCTCTTTGGAAACATGATGGATTCCTGAGAGGCAGCTCCAGAAGTGCCCAGGGCTGAGGAGCTTTGGGACAGAGCATCCCATAAACCAAGCAGCCTGCAAGAAAGCAAAGCACTCTGAAAAACAAAGCTGTGGACTGCCAAAGACTTAGGCTCTCAGGGAGGCCTTTGGGGCAGCAGGGGAAATTAGTAGTGATTTTTTTCCCCATTGTTTGTTTGTGTCTATCTGCTGTCCCTTCATGGAAACTTTGGCCAGAAACAAATGCAAGGATATGCAGAGAAAAAAAGCAGAATGGCTTCAGGTGGGAAATTCTGGTCTGTTGGCTCCAATGAGCAAACAATGAACACAAGGATGAAGAATCTCTATCCTACTTTACCCTTCCTTGTTGTGTTTTTCTCTCTATTATGAAGAGAAGCAAATGGGTCTGGTATGGTACTGCATAGATGACCTTCCTTGTCAGGTAAATATCCTTACCTTTCCTAGTTTCTACACATTGTTATTTAATTATTCACAAATCCCAAACACCTCCATTACCCTGCTCTCCCAGGTGGGAAGTACTCACAGCTCTGGGGAAAATATACTAACACTGAAATGCCAAAAACAGGCCAGCAGTAGGATCACTTTGTAAACCAGAACTTCTTTGTGGGTACAAATCTCACTCACTGCACAGCAAACAGTCTGTGAGATGGTGTCCCACAGACCATCAGCTTTCCTCAGGAGGAAAAGGTCCCACCATGTCAGAAATAGGAGTGTGCCCTGCCACTTTATTCCTTGCTCCCACCTGCACCAGGGATCAGGCTAACCTGGGAGGTAGAGGGGAGCTGCAGGTTGGTTGGGGCAAGCAGAACTGCCAGAGGGGGAGAAAGTCAATGGTTAAAATCCAGGAAGCCTTGAAGGAAGCCCTGCATGTGCCCACTGGCTCTTATGCTGTTAGTAAATTGTCATAAACAAGAAACACAGCATCTTTGGAGGCTGAGTGGCCTGGAAGGAATTTGGGAAATATACTTGCACTGACACGGAAGATGGGGCAGCCCAGGGGTGTGGAAGCCCAAAGCTGGCTGCAGTGGCCATGACTGTGACAGGGGAGCTTGGGCTGGCCCTAGAAGAGGACAGTTTGGGGGTGCTAGAGGCTACAAGGAGCTGACTCACCTTCTCTCCAGATTGCCCCTTTAGTCCCTGGGTCAGTGGCAGCCGTCACAGCCACATGCAAGAGGGTGCAGGGAAGAGAGAGAGAAAGGAGAGACACAAACACAGGCGTCAGCGGCAAAGGCACGCTCTGCCCCCCACAACCCTGGCTATGGGGCTGCCACCAGCAGGGTGGCCTCAGCTCCTGCCCCACTCCTCTTCCCCATCCTCGCCATGGGATGCCTGAGCAAGGAGCAGCTCCAAAATCCAGCACTAGCCAGGCAGGGGATGGCCCCCTTTGCTCAGGGCAGCTGCCAGTGGCAAGCAGGGGTGCGTGTTAGGAAACCCAGTGTTAGCAAGCCCAGCTGGTGCACCAGGTGACAGCGGGAGACACCCAAACAGGGGGATGCTGAACCAGAGGAGGGCCTGCATAGGACAGCAGGTGAAATGGAAACACCTCCCCAGCATGTACATGGCTTGCAGAGCTGCTCACCCTGCTGAGACCAGGGGAGCCCCTCACGTGTGGAGCTCAGGGAGAGTAGTTTTGCTCAAACTGACAAGGATTATGCTGAAAGCCACCCCCAAATCCTGGGGGTTGGAAGAGAATGGGAAGGATAAGGCACACAAAAGAGGGTTTGACTTACCGGCCGCCCAGGGATTCCCATCGCACCTTTGTCCCCCTGGCAATTAAGGCAAAAATCAGAGGGAATTGGTAACTGGTCAAAACAAGGTTATAAAACAGCACAACTGAACTAAGCCACAGCAGCAGCTTCAGACTGTACTGCAAGTGTCCAGGGATTTTGAGAGGGAGAGGGTTAAAGTGTAAAATGTGTGTGCATGTGCCCGAACCTGCCTTCAGAATGTGTGAGCCACCAGTTCATTTCCACATATGACAAACCCACACATCTCACAACAGAAATTACATACAGCAATTTAGGCAGCAAAAGGAGGACAGGAGTCTCCAGTCAAACAAAGTACTATCCCTATTTCCAACACTTCATAAAATCCAGGTCCTGGGAACTGGCTTCCTGCAGTGGCCAACTGTCACATTTTTCTCTTTCTTGACCAAAGTCATCTGGGTGTTAGCTATTTATTTATAGAGTTATCACTTTAAAACACAATTCTTTTAGACTTAAAAATACTGTCCTGTCCAGAAGCAAGAGAAAAATGTGAGAACACAAGCTGACACAGGAAAAAGCATGTCTGCAAGAAGACATATGAGCAGCTGTTTTCAGTGTCCTCTACCCCTCTGAGATACTTCCCAGTGCATTGTCAGCATGTGAGTGATCCTAACAGTGGTTTTGGGAATGACTTTGGGTCAGGTGACACTGGACAGAGCCTTGTAAACACATGAACATAGGACCAGTGACAATTTTCTTCACCCACTTACCTAAAAGGCAGTTGGCTGCCTCTTACAGCTAAATTGTACTATGCAATTACCAAAAAAAAAAAAAAATTACCCCCTCTGCATTCCTGGTCACCAAAACTGAAGGCTGTGCAGATCTGGAAGATAGCAGCTCATTGCTAAAGGATCCTGATGATTATGGCTTCAGCAGTCATGTATCTTTTGCTCTATATTTTGCAAAAATGACGTGATGATAATCCCTCAGTTGTGTTTCCAGCGATGTTTGGGGTTTCCTTATGTAAAACAGAATGTTCCTGCCCCTGGCTGACTGTGTCTGTAGACATAAACCTGGTTTTCTGGTTTCTGCAGCTGGAGACACCAGCCCCATTGGTGCCACCTCTTTATGCCTCCCCACACGTTCAGTCCTAGCGCGTGTGAACATCATCTGAAATCTCTGGAAGGGGAAGGCACTTAGCTCTGTTTGTTCTTCTGGGTGTACACAAAGGCTGTGTATCCCAAACTCAAACATTATTGCTTGGGATCAAACCATTTCCTGGTGGAAGCTCAGCCATTTCCCTCTGCAGACCTGGGGGGGCTGTTTGGTATGGGGGGCATTCCTTTCCAATGCAGCTTATGTTGTGATAAATTGAAGAGCCGTGTAGACTTTGCAAATGCACCCCTTTTAGATGGATGAAACCCTGAACAGCTGCTTGATTTTAAGTTTTGTTGAGAATATATTATGGGAAACTGATTTCTTCTAGGGTTTTAGGTGGGTTCTCAGTCCTGCTAATATTTGCCTATCTCTTTGTGCCAGCAGTGAGTGGAGCTCCTGGTGTCAGCAGCTGGCCCTGGCATTACTTTGTGGCTGCTGGAAAACATAATACTGAGCTTTCCTCTGCTTTCAGTCCCTTGAATGCTGCTTTCCTCCAGAGCTGAGTCCAGGCTGATTTCCCTCGTGGCTTTTGAGGTAAAAGCTGAATTTGCTTCTTCTGTCTCTGGTGTGGCTGGTGCTTGAGCAGGAAGGGCCCAAGGTCGGGGCTGAGCTGTGTCAGGTCCCCTGTGAGTACCTGGAGTGGTACATGACGGCACCGTGTCTGGAATGTGACTGTGCAGGGCTACAGCAAAGGGGGAGCTCCCTTAGGACAGCAAATAAATGCCAGATGTTTATAAGGAAAGGTTGTCTGTGACAGGCAGCCAGGAAAGAGCACTTGTGGGTGGATGATACCGTGTAGGTTGGTTATAAAGTCATGAAAAGCTGCCTGAAGCTCCCATATCAGAGTTAAAAGAGCATGAAAGGCAAGCAGCAGCCCCTGTCCTGAGCCAGGGGAGAGCCAGCAGCACAGTTTGCATTTCCTTCACTGGGAAGCTGCCTCTTATGGCTCGTGCAGTCTCCAGGTGAGCCACAGCCTGGGGAGCAGGGAACCATCACCAGAAAATCACATAATGATTTATGCTGTAATTCCAAAACCCACGCTCCTTCCTCAGTCATGACTAACTCAGATGCAGATACTGTTATTATGGATTTTTGCATTTGTCCCAAGGTGACTCAGGCCTTCTAAATCCTGCTGCAACTAGCAAATCCCATCAGTGAGAACACGGAACACTTTGCCTCTTCAACCAGACCCTCAAAGACATCTTCAAAAGTAGTGTTTCCCATGCATAGGAGGGTTCATGAGGATCATGCTACCCTTTAAGTTTGGACCTGCAAAGCTCCTGTGGTCCCTACTCTGTATGGGCCATGTCCTGTTATGCAATATCCTATTCCATGTTCCATTTTCTATGCAAGTCTACTTTCTACCACCTTAGGAATGCTGGGAGCCTCCTGATCAAAGTACTATCAGACAGAAAGAATGAGGGGATGAAAGAGAAATAATGAAGTATTTACCAGGAGCTGTGGCCTTTCTGTGAGGCCCTGGAACAAAATACACTGAAACAACAAAAGCCAGCCTCAAACTCCAAAAGGAGGGCTTGATAAAGACATGGAATCACATGGAAGTGTTTAGGAAACAGAATGGTTAAAAAAACTCTCCACAGCTCCTTGACCATCAGCTCTGATTGCTTTGGTTTCCTAATCTCCTGCTTGTGAAGTTCTCTCTCCTTTTGGCACAACTCTACCCACAGCTCTCCGCACGAGCTCTGAAGGTATCTGCAAGTCCACGGAGAACAAACTAATTACAGGGCTCTGACTTTCTTCCTTAGTTTCCATCTGCTAAATATTATTTTTTCATGTATGGAATTGCTGCAGTTGCCACAGAAATGTTGCATGATCAGAAATGGGAGAGAAAATGTCCGTGAGAGGATCATTTGCTTCGGATGTGGTCCAGACAGCAAAAGGACTATTGCAGGATTTCATCACTTCCTTCCTTCACCCCTTTTAGTCCCAATCTCATCAAATATCTTACATGACTGCGGGTTGCCCTTGTCTTCACCAAAGCCTTCACTGATTTCAGGAATAAGGGTGGAAGCGTTCATTGGGCAAGAGAAGAACATGAAGTTCCCTTTTGCTGCTCTGCTGGTGCTCATCCATTTCCCTGGCTCTTGTCCTTGTTCTCCTAGACTGCAAACAGGGCTCAGTGCATTTCTAACGAGTATTTCTGCCCATCTCCACACCCAAGCCAACACCTGCACTGGGAGCTAAGCCCTGTCACGCAGTGTGTTGTCTCTTTTGCAAGCTGGGAAACAAAAACGGGAGAGAGATGTGGGGTGGTCATTGCTTTGGGGACACTATCCAGAACAATGTGTATGACAATCATCCAGGAAGGAGCTCAGGTTGCTGCTCATAAAACCATTTCCATTTCAATCACAAGAAATCCGCAGGGATGGGGGAATACTTCCTATGGTGACATGTAGAACTCACTTGGCTTTTCAGAGGTGAACTTTTGCTCACAGTGACTGAGCAAAAGAGCACAGTGATTTCACTTGCCAGCTGATCAGAAACCCAAGAGGTCCTGAATGAGATGAGGGTCCTACTAGTGTAAGACAAATTCCATTCTGGCTGAGAGCACTCAGTCTGCCCAACTTCCTCTTGTTATTTCCATTGGCTGTAGCATTCCTCAGAGCCTGTCCTAGAAGTCTGCTTGCAGAGACAGGTTCAGGGGTCGCAGTAAGCCAGGATACAGTAGCATATAATGTCAGCACTCCTCTGGTGGTCCCATGTGCTTCTGCCAGGCTTCAATCTCTCATTACAATATTAGGTTTCTAACCCTTATTGCTGCAGAGGAAGCCTGGAGCGTGCATCTTCCTCACCCCACAAAGGCACTGACTGCTCTCTAGAAGACATCTGTGTTGATCTGGTGATTTCTCTCTAATTTCTCACAGCAATAATAGAAACGCCAACACCACTGCCAATTTTGTGCCCAACTCCTCCCTTTAGTGCCAACATATGGGCTGCCCAGGCTGAAGTGGCAGGGACTGCCATGGAGGGACTCCAGTTTGGAGCTGCCTGCAGAGGCATGCTCTCCTCCCAGAAAGCCACAGCTAATGCTGAAATAGCCAGCCCTGAAAGCCCCTGGGATAAGCTATCACTGAGGTTTTGTGTGGATCAGGCCTTCCAGCTGTGAAATCCTTTCAGACCTTTTGGCCTAGAAGGTGCAACTTTTTGGAAGATTGCTGTCATTAAATAGGTCTGTGCTCGTATATCTGGGGGAGTTGAGTCTATAGCATTTCAGCCTGATGAAAGGGGAAAGAAAATAGGTTGTGCAGCAACTACTACTCAGAACGTCATCTGCAAACTGTTTAAGACATTTTTGCGTGAACAGACAAAAGATGACTACCGTATGTGTAACTTCTCATGTTCCTTCACAGAAACCCTGAATAGTCCCTCTATTGTACATGAATATAAACCATTTCCTCTGGAAGGACCCTGCTATGAGACAATGCAGCATTTCTTTATAATCCTGAGAGCTATCGATGATACATGGCTTCAGTCCTTGAGTTGCTGCTTCTGGTTCACTGTGGGTCTGGTAATAGCTGCAAGAAAATTTCTGCAATAACCTAGCTATTTTCCTGAAGCCTAAATTGTCTGTGCTGAGGTTTTACATTAGCTAACATTTGAAAAGGAAGCTGTCAACACAATTTTTCCTCTGAAATTGATTGTTGCGCAGCTACACTTGAAGGCCCAGCAGTTCAGCCAGCCCGGGTAAGTAGCAGGCAACGAGTCCCTGCAGCTCAGCTCCTGCCATGTGTTTGTGATCTGTCTTTCCCTTTCCTGCAAACACATCTCATTCAGCACGTGGCATCCCATGCATGTGAGGCGCACACAGCCGGTTCCCCCAGAGGCCAGCTGCTAACACACAGATCCCTGCACCACGTGGATCTGCCCTGTCCCCTGCCCCTGCTGAGCTGCAGCCAGGAGCAATCCCACCCCAACCCAGGCCTGAGCTCCCCCAGTACTTGCTGTTTGGGATAGCCCAGGCTTCCAGGACTGCAAAGGTGGCTGCCACACCAGACACCACAGACAGGAGGCTGCATGCCCCCAGACTCCATGTCAACAGCTTCTACAACTGTAGATATTTGGTACTTACAGGTGGACCTGGAAGAGAGAAGAAAAATAAACAATAATTAATTTTTTTAATGCGATAAATCCTAACAAGAAGAGATAGAAAAAAACATTGCACCATCTTTTTGGGCATTATCCTCAGGCTGCTCCCATTTGCTGATCTACTTTCACCAGCTCTGTGCTTGTTAATTAAGGTATCCCCACAATAACCACCATGAGTGCAAGGCAGGTGTGAAATGATTAATGAGGAAACTACAGCTATCAAAGATATCAGGTACCTTTTCTCTTTAATACAAGCAAATTTTCCCCTTTTCTTCTGCCTCTGATCCCACCGAAGCCAACCTGCCCTCTCGGAAGAAATTCCCTCAAATCCTTTGAGTTTCTTTTATTTTGGAAATCTTTTTTGGAACCTGTCAGTGCGGAGCACTGCATCTCCCTCATACAGAATGGTTGTACAATATATATCAGGGCTTAAACAGCACATTTCTTTCATCAGTTCCCAGAAAATTCCTCAAAATCCTGACAGATATTGTGTGTGTGGAAAGAAACCCCCGGACTCACTATTTTGTGGTTTCCTCTCTGTGGGAGAAGCAAGACACACCATACAACTGTCAGGGGTTTCTACATTTTCCATACTTTATAGACATTGTGTTTTCTCTTTTTTTCCCTCGCACAGAGTGCCAAGAAGCAAGGCTAAGCAGAATAACAGGCGAGCTGACAGATAACAGCAGCAGCCTCCTCCTTGCACGGCAGGCGGATGTCACGGTGAGCACCTGTGGAACAGTCCTCATCCTGAAAATGCCCCTGGCTCAAAGTCCACTAAAGAAACTGGAGACCTTGGATGAACAAACGATTTCCACATTGGAAATCTCTCCCTTAGTGTGACTCTCTCATACCAGGTTTGGTGACCTGAAACTGCCCTGTCAGATGCCACTGTTAGATACGGCTTTCATTGTGGTTGATCAGAAGAGGTTACCTCTAGATAAAGTAACTTTTGGTTAAAATACAAAGAATTATAACCACCTTCATGATGGCTCACAGAGCTAAAGTCAACACTCAACAACTCAAAACAACTCCAATCAAGTTTAGGACAGGAGTTCAGGGGCAATCCAGATGTGCTTGGCCTGAAAATGGCCCACCACTGGTGCTGGTGCTGAGGTCACTGTCCTACTTGCTACACCAAGCCTAAACAACAAAAGGGTTTCTGATCAGACAGCTCATTTAGGAGGGCAAGGTCACACTGATGCTGGAATCCTAATTTATGCCAGACTGGGAAAAAAGAAAGAAAAAAAAAAAGAGAGAGTTTTCTCAGTCTGGCTTGGATCACAATAAAGTTCTGTGAGAGAACTGTTTTGGAGAGATTTTGTTTCAGATTGAGTGCCCTGACACAAGGTCAGTGCTTATAGCTTGCCAATACACGGACTTTATTTCCATTAGCAACGCTTCAGACCCTTAATATCCCATCTACCTGTCTGCATGGACTTGGGGCACTCATGGATTGCATGAATCAAACTGCTGAGCTGATATGAAAAGAAAAACTTAAGGACATGCAAACCCTGAGCCATGCCTGTCCTTCCAGCCCCAACACAACCAGCCAGCACAGCCTGTAACAGCATTGCCATACCACTGAGAGCAAACACAAGCTCTTGTTTGCTCCAGAAGCTCCGTCCGCAGAGCGGAGTAAATCAGCAATGCCGGCAGCTCTGGGCCACACACCCCACACAGATCAAAGGCAGGAGGAACAGTGGAGGCCCATCTCTGCTATGTGCCCCCTATAAAATTAATGGTTATGTGAAGGGGACTGCACAGTCTTGTGTAAACACTCATCAGTGAGCTGCAGGGACACAGTCTTGGCTGCAATAAGTCAATCGGGAGACACCATCCAGGGACTGGGCTTCAAATGCAGGGATCATCCGTGTGATCCAGGAGAAAGCAAAGCCCTCAGACAGAGTCATTTCCAAAAGCAACATCATCTTGCATGGGCTGGAGGAGGAGGAGGAGGAGGAGGAGGAGGAAAGATGTCCCAAAGACAGCAGGAAGGAAGGAGGTGCTGCTGGATAAGCTTTTGCAAGCATAGGGGATTTTACGAAGCAGAATAAAGCTTCAGCAAAATACTTTGGTCATATTCTGCCACAGTGATAAATGACAAGGTGGAGCAGAGGTTCTCAAGTGGCTCAGTTCTTAATACAAGTAGTAAATTAACGCACATTAGAGGAAAGAGTAGATAAAAGAGGACAGAGATACTTGAGCCTCTACTCTCAACAACTCCAACATCAGCAGTGCAGTGAGTTCAGTCCTGGCCAAAGCTCTGGCAGAGCTGCTCTGTCCCAGGCAGGGATGCTGACAACCCAGCAAGCCAAGGGAACAAGCCCACAAGTTGACCAGGCTGAATGGGACCCTTTACAAAAGCCACCTGAACTGCAACAGAGTCACCACACCACCACTGCACGTAGTCCCTGTGTCCCACGTCTCTCACAGGCCCTGACAGTTTGGGGCAACCATGTGGAACCAGGCCTGCTTGCCCCCACATGGGCCAGCTCTTAGTGGTGAACTCCAAAGAGCTCCACAAACAACCAGGACAGCCACAAGTACAAATCACACCTACTGGGGGCTCCTCCCCTCCTTACAGCAGGCTCTTGGGGTGAGACAGAGGTGGTGCTGCACAGGAGATCAGCTAGATCCCCTTTCCATATAAACAGAGAAAGGATGAGTCAACAGAGAAGCGATAAAAGCTGCTCTGAACATCTCCAAGCCCATTCCACAGCGAAGCCCAGCCAGCAGACAGACCCAGAGCTTCCAGATCACCAAATTCCTCAGCCGTGCAGGGCAGAGAACCCACAGTTGTGATTAGCACCTCCAGAGGCTGTGTGTTTTGAAGCTGATCTCGCTGGGAGCGGGGCGATGCCGGTGCTGGCACGCGGGCTGCAGCACGGCCGTCCGCCCACCACGGGCTGCTCAGGAAGCTCCTCTCCGTGCCGGCGCCGCGCTGCAAGGCACTGGAGGGCTGTAAGTGACTGCAAGCGCTGTTTATCCAGCTGCAGGGCTTGTGGAGCAGCAGGGGATGGAGGAGGGGACGGGGAAAACGTGTCAGGAGTGGACAAGTGGGAGGAAGCAGTGGTCTCCTGCAAGGAGGAGACCTCCAGAGTACCTTTGAAACGGAACATTGAGAAAACAAAGAATTCTTGTAGGGGTACCCAAGGTCCCTCCAAACATATGGCCTCTGGAAATTAGCACCATCTGCACTGTCCCTTCTCAGCTGCTCTGGTTTTTATGCAGACTGAAAAGTTCCTTAAAGAAGCTCTGCCTTTCCATAGCCCAAGTGAGCAAATGAGCAGCCACCTAAGGATAAGGGTCCACCTTACTGCACATACAGAAAGACCACACCTGTGGTGAACTGCAAGGTCATGCCACAGAGCCCTCTGCTCACTTGATTTTCACCATGTTCAACCAGCAACTGATCACAACACAGCTGCAATGACTTCTTTTCTCTTAGCCACTAACAGAGATAAAATGCCACCCTCCACGCTGTAGCCTCGCTGGCCTCAGAAAAGGAGAGGCTTCGTTTTGCAAGCCGGTCAAATTTATCCTCATCTGGAAAGTCTCATGTTCCAGACTATCAGATGTTAAAAGCTGGACGTAGAGGAGCAGGTTTGGTGAGAAGCCTTCTGCTGATGACAGAGATACTCTCCAGCTTGAGACAGCAGTGCTCTCTGGACAGAGAGGATCATTGAAATGATCCCATCCACTTACGGGCATTTCCTGAAGTCTGGAAAAGTGTCCATTCTCAAAAGGTTCCCAAATGCTGTTGCTTGTTTTTCCCTTTAATTTCTTGGATTCAGGCAGCACAGTGTCTGCAATATGTGTATCTTCCAGCCTGCTCCAAGAGCTCACATACAAGGGGGTTTTTTCCCCTCCTGTACAGCATACATAAGACAAGGAGGAGAAAGAGGGAACACGAAGACATTATTGTTGGTTACTTGGGTCATCTTCACTACACACTGGCAGCAGCAAAGATGTAAACATGTAATCCATCCCTGTGAGGAAATCCAGCCATTTCACAGACCCAGAAGCCAGCCTTAGGGAGTTAGAGAGATACAGTTACTTCCTGACATTCAGGGCTATGTTAATTGATAACAAGATAGCTGTGGCCAGGCAATTAGTTATGAAATGCTGATTGAAATGCCAGCAGCCTTGAGCATGACCCTACCCAGGGTGGCATGGAGCCCCTAATTCATGGCTCCATGGGCATTCAGTGCAGACTGACCCCATTTCAGAGCAGGCATACCCCAGCTGGGTGCATGGAGCACAAACAATGGGTTTGGCCTATTTTAAACACAGACCATGCTGCAGTTTTCTCACAACAGATACAGAGTACTCATATTCTTCTAGAGCCAACTTCCCTACCTCCATCAGGGGAAAAATGGTACAAGCAGAGGCAGAGGGAACGTTAACTCAGAGAACTTCAAATGAAAAGGCAAAAAATGTCATGTGCCTTGCCATAATTCATTATTATTAGCTGTAGGTGGAATTAAAGACAAAAAAAATCTTGAAAATAATAAGAAAAATTTTAAACACTGACTACCCAAAGAACAACCTCCAGTAATTTTACTTCAGGCTTTGTCAACAGTGGCAGACAATCTGTGTGGATAACTCACTCCAGAGAGCAGAAGGCCATTGCAAAAGGCCAGGCTCCTCCATCCCTAAAACATTCCCTTCTAGGCTACACCCTTGCAGAGTGGCAAGAGGTTCTTCAAAGGATTGCAGAAATGTTGGACAGTGAAAGGACCATCAGGATTTCACTGCCAAAAAATCTGACCAACGCTAAGCTGAGGCACCAGGTTATGCCAGTCATTCAAGCTGGCCCCCAAAATCAAACCCATGACATCACTGAGAGTCGGCAGTTAATAGCAGCAGCTGTTGAGGATAAAAGTCACTGCTCAGGCACTCTGAGCATCCCAGCATCACCACCACCAGCCCAAGCCAGGCAGAAGGCAACAGACATAGCACCAAAAAAAGTCCAAAGGATGCTGCTA